AATTTTTCATTCAAATGGTATAATTTTCATTCAAATGCAATAGTTTTTATTCAATTGGTATAAAATGTCATTTGAATGCAATATTTTTTATTCAATTGGTATAGTAGTTTTTTATTTATATGCAATAATTGCATTATGGGAAATTCTTTGACGTTGTAAGGTCAAATTTGCAACAACGTTTGTGATTGGTCGGAAATTGTTTGGATTTCTCCCCTTTCTTTCTAAACATGGGTGACCAAGAATTAAAAAAACGCGTCAGAATATCGCCCCTATAACTAAATCTAACGTTCGTGCGAGTCTTGCACTGGCTGTTAAAATCTTGTGGTCATAACTAGTATTTCTATTGCAAAATTTCGATGGTCAAAACGTTCGGTCCACTTTCCAAAAACCGTTTCATTGTATAAGGATTTATATGCAAGTATATCGGTTTTTTTAAATAGATTAGACACCGTTGGTTTTCCCGTTTGAATGCATGGTTTTACACTACTAATTTTTTGGGGGCCCTTTATAGCTTGCTGTTCGGTTTGAGCCAAGGCTCCGTGTTGAAGACCGTACGTTGACCTTTAATGGTTTACATTTACAAATTATGACTTGGATGGAGAGTTGTCTCATCGGCACTCATACCACATCTTCTTATATCTATATACAACCGTAAACCAGACGTTTCTCAGACTGTTTTCTTTTTTTAATAAATTCTTTGCCGCGTATTGTGTACTGATTGATAACTCAGTCTGGGAGAACTAGATTTATTTCAGTGCCAGTTGTAATTAGGTTTGAGCAAACTTCCAGTAATTGCAAATACTCTTATGTCGGTGATTTGTGTCTATTGTCTTAATGTTACTTTTTTGTGTGTCTAGTACCGATCTTTTGAGTTAATTTGCTGATTTGTGCAGGTTGTTATTTTATTGTACTGTTACACCATTATCCCAGCTTCGGGATGGGTTGCTCACAAACATGTTGTTGTACTGTTACACCGCTGTCCCAGATTAGGGGGAGGATTGGGATCCCGCTAACATGTTTAACCCCGCCACATTCTGTATGTATGTGCTTGTCCCAAGTCAGGAGCCTGTAATTCAGTGGTTGCCGTTTGTTGCTTTGTTATACATATTTGTGTTTCGTTCATTTTTTTGAACATTAATTCGTCCGTTAGTTTTCTCGATTGAATTGTTTTACATTTTTGATTTCGAGGCCTTTTATAGCTGACTATGCGGTGTAGGCTTTGCTTATTGTCGAAGGCCGTACGGTGACTTATAGCTGTTGATTTCTGTGACATTTGATCTCTTGTGGAGAGTTGTCTCATTTGCAATCATACCACATCTTCGTTTTTATATCCACCCTGCCATATTCTTTATTTGCTTGTCCCAGGGATGGAGCCTGTAGTTTAGTGGTTGTCGTTGGTTCCTGTCTCGACTCATATTTGATATTTTGTAAATTGTTTTGTTATGTATAATTAGGCTGTTAGTTTTTTCGTTTGAATTGTTCACACTTTTCATGTCGGGTCTTTTATAGACGACTTTACAGTATCAGGTTTTTGTCATTGTTGAAGGCCTTACGATTGTCTACAAAAAGCATTTGTCTACATGACCGCAAAAAGCTCTACAGAGCTTATGTTTGTAGTATTTCATGTAACCCGACTTAAAATAAATTTTTCTTATCTTATCTTATCTTATCTATAATTGCTTACATCCACTTCATATTTGAACTCCGGTGGATAGTTGCCTTATTAGCAATCATATTCAATCTCTTCATTTTTATATTATATACGTGACTTCTAAACTCGTGTTTTCCTGAACAAGCATGAAATAATTTTCACTGGGCGTTAAAATTAGCAACAAACAATCAATCAATTTAAACTTGTGTTAAATAAGAGGAAAACCATTTGATATTTATTTATTTGTTGGGGTGGGGGACAGAAGGATTTCATATATAAATATGGTTGCCTGGTAAGAGCTGAAAAATAGGCATGATTAGCGACAGATTGAAATGAATAATAATGCCCTCTCTTCCCTTCCCCATCCTTCATCTATAAATTTAAACTGACCACCACGGAATAGCCCAATAGTGTTGAAAGTAGCGTTAAACACCAATCAATCAAAATCCCTTCCCTAGAATATCAAATAATCGTCCCTTAACTGTTATTGTCCGTGTAGTTCTTATATTTATCCAGCTTATCGTCCTACAGGGATGTCCTACTAAGGCTGTCATACCATAAAAACGTTTATAAAACAGCTCACATTCTAATATATCTGCATTCATAAATTTATTAATTTCATTTAGACTAAACGGCGCCATGTTTGTTATGTGCCTCTGCCGTCAACCTATCAAAAAAGAAGAGGTGGAAGAGAGCCAGAAGATCTTCCCAATGCAAAAAAAAAACAGAAATGGACTTCTTCTGGCTCACTTCCGAAGAACAAAAAAAAAAAACGCGCCCCATTGATATGTTTTAAAAACGCCTTGCTCCTACCCTTTTTTTTTCCAAAAAATGGCATTATTAAATATATAAACATATATATATAATCATCAAAATTAAAATGCTATTGTATTTTTATAAGACCTACTTTATTACATGACCTGGGACTAATGACATCAAGTCCTAGCATACATTTATTATTATAATATGAATATGTTTCTTGATTTAATAACCACATATAATGCTATGCATGATCGAGTCACCATTTATCAGGACATGAATTGGGTTTACATAGAGAGGATAAGGGACGACATCAGAAAATCAATGAAGGATAAAAAACTTAATTCAAATAGTTTTTTTTTTTGGGGGGGGGGGGGGGGGGGGGGGGGGGGGGGGGGTCAAAATTGCTGCAAGTTTTGTTTAATTAACATCGATTTTATATATATCCTTATTGTTCAATCAATTTTTCCCATATTAAGTTATCCTACATTGAACTTTTGATGTCGTCCCTAATGTGCAAAAAAAAAATAGATAAGGGGCGGGACCAAACCTATAGATAACATAATAAAGAAATGATGAAATATACAGAATACGTTGATTGACTTTTGGTTGCCTTATGTCCAGTGGCAAATATGTTACGCATGTTTAGGACAAGTATAATAGAGATCAAAGGATAAAGAATAGAGTGAAATGGTAAAAACTAAAAGATATAGAATTATAGAAACGATCTTTGATCTGAAACCCCTACTCTCACACACACCACATAACCATTACTGCCAATACTCGCATATATACATCTCTATACAAATATCTTAATTTGAACCTACTCCCCCCCCCCCCTCTAGACACCGAGGTTTTGGATCCGCCCCTGTTAAATGTGTCTAATTATATACATTTTGTACGGGTCTAGATAATAGCTAAACGAACAATCATATAATTTGTTGGATACCTAATTATATTATATAATGTGTCACAAAATAAACTTGTATACCCCCCTTCCCAATGCAGTATTGAAAAGTAAATCATTTAAAAATCCTGAAGATAAAATATGTTTTGAAATATGCCCTGCATACTTATTTATGCAAAGACATATAGTAATTATTGAACTACTGTGGGGATTGAAAAAAAAATCTATTGAAGGGATTCGGAGACGAGAACAGTAAAAAAAAAGCTCAGCAACGAATCCTAAATGTAAAATGATTTGCAGCATAAGACATGAGAGCACATATTATAGATAGTATTAAATATGAAGTTCACGCCTCATATAGTGAAGTCCTATGTCATAGGACTATTGTTGTAACATGGGTTAGTAACTGGTTCCAATTTATCCTGAATTGTCTTTATTAAAGAATTAGTTCCGGAGTATAACAGCTTATGTCTCGACTTGTGGGTTTCTGGTTCTGCTGTCGTAATTAGGTGATTTTTTTTTCTACATGTAGTAAAAAAGAGGGGCTTAGTCCAAATAATTGTAACCTCCTGGATGCTTTTTATTCTTTTTTCATGTGTGCCTTCCTGCAACGTCTCTGAGGATCAAGAAAAGTAAAAATGATATAGCACTAAAGAACGTCATGATTACATGTATTTGGACTTAGAAGGGGGAGGGGGGCTAGCTATGTATTTTTTTTTATTTCAATGTGTAGACTGTAGGAGAGTTTCTTCAGAAAAGGTTTTCATTGGAGGTGTTTTTGCTATGCACGCAGGCATCTGTTTCTATCCATGAACAAGTTGTGTGTCAAATTAATTATTATTACTTGTCACTCGCATTTTTTGCTCGTCCTGGCCATTATTGGCATCAACAGCCAGTGCACGAACTCGCACGTACGCCAAATTTAGTTAGAGGGGCAATATTCTGACGCGTTTTTTAATTCTTGGTCACTCAAGTTTAGAAAGAAAGGGGAGAAATCCAAACAATTACCGACCAATCACAAACGTTGTTGCAAATTTGACCTTATTACGTCAAAGAATTTCCCATAATGCAATTATTGCATATAAATACAAAACTACTATACCAATTGAATAAAAAATATTGCATTTAAATGACATTTTATACCAATTGAATAAAAAATATTGCATTTGAACGAAAATTATACCATTTGAATGAAAAATTATACCATTTGAATGAAAAATTATACCATTTGAATGAAAAATTATACCATCTGAATAAAAAATATTGCATTTAAATGAAAAAATATACCATTCAAATAAAAAAATATTGCATTTAAATGAAGAAATATACCAATTAAATAAGAAATATTGCATTTAAATGAAAAATATCAAATTTTTGCAACCAATACCATGCCATACGCGCAAACGTAATGGTAATGCGCGCAAATGTAATGCACCGATCTTGTACGTGTTATATAACCGAAGTCATTATACTTAATATATACATGTTAGTATCAGTAAAATTTTATAGCCGATTGAAATTAAAATCATATGATATTTAGTTGAGGGTCTCGCACGGTCGGCCATGGCTTACGCCTTTCTGTGCATTTTAATAATTTAATTTTGCCCTACGCTATATGTGTGTGTCTTTTCTTATAAATAGTATGTAGCGACTGTTTGAAAAAAAAACAGAAGATCTACTCACTTCGCAAGCATAGCAGAATTAAACCTACTAATGAAAACCAAAATCCACTGGTCATATTTAAAGTTCCACTTATACAGTGGTCAAAAGTGTGTACGTGAGTTTATCTATTACATGTATTATACATATATTCACTTATCTTTAGTAGGTCTTGTTAATCAGACATTAATGTTCTCATTGATCCAACATGCCTTTACCTGTTGATTTGATAAATTAACCTAACGACTTGGTTGCTATCTCTTTCAACAGCTATATCTATCAATGTCCACAATCCAATTCTAGATGTTTCTGAGTTATGTTTCAAACATTCCTGAAAGCCTAGGATGTGTGAAGAAAATATCTAAAACAATGTTTGTTCTTTTTTATTGCATTGTTAATCAAGTACCACAAGTCCAAGTATGTATAAACATGTGAGTGAATAAAACTTTCGAAATCGTTGAATTCAAAACGGAGTCAAACCATTTGCGTCATCAGGGCTGTGTTTTCAAAAAGTCCATATTGTTATTGCGAACATCTTATTAGGTATTTAGACAATAACTGATCACCCAAATCTTGGTTATGACCCAATAGCTTGTGGAGTGATAATTTCTCTCTCTCTCTCTCTCTCGTACACATTGTATAGTTGTTTCTCTTTCCCCCATAAATATTCTATAATAGCTATATCTGTATAGCTTAAAGACATATTATAATAGCTATATATCTCTCACATTTTTGGGGTGGCGTACTGTGTTTTCTTTTCATCTTCCTCCGTCTGTCTATCCAAAATATTTGTTTACTTAAAATAGGCAATAGTTTACATCGAAATGACACGAACTTGATAGAATTTCTTCACACATTGTGTATTTGTGGTTTGCATAGTTTGATCAAGTTGATGTTTTAGATTCCAACGGACTTTACTATTTGGTCTCTGGTGGAAAGTCTTATTTGCAATCATACTACATCTTCTTATTTTTATATTGTGCATCTGAGCATGTATTTGCATGTAGGTCAGACTGTTATTAGGGGTTTTCAAATGTAAAATATAAACAATGTCGTTTCTATATATCAGTATTATGAAATTTATAAATATTGTACATGTTGTGTCGATCAGAACATTGTTTTAGTAGTTGCGGTCGCTTGTTTTCGTGATTTTGTCAAATCAAAATTAAGTATTTTGCATTTAAGTATACATCCTCGTCGTAAATGTTGTATTCGTAACTTTTACAATTGTTTCTTTTACTAGAAAAATTAAAATATTATTTCTGAGATTTGCTTTGCCATAAAAAAGCTATGTTGAAGATAAATATAATATTAAAGTGCTGACAGTTTCATACACTTAAACCTATTTCATGAACTTTTATGTTATTACATTGCCCCACTAATACACGCTGATTGCTTTTAAGATTTCATTTTAACTTAAATAATGCGTCAAGAGTCCTATTAGATTTTAAATGGAAAGAACTTAAAATATGACTTTTTGTATTAATTTTACAATCAACTCTAAGAGGCTGATGATGAGGTCGTTAACTGTAAAAAGGGTTTCTTTTAAATAAATTCTGTTTTTATAAATTCGACCAATTGTGAAATCTTCAGGTCATTTCTTCTCATTCGACAAAAAACTCTTTTTGAAAGAAAAGGCTTTTATTAGCATCATGGAAACAATGACTGTCTGGTTGCTGAATGGTACAAAAGCACGAGTAGAAATATTTGTTTAGTTTAGAGTTATGTTATTGCTTCGGCAACCATCTTGTTATCAATCCAAATAAGTGGAATATACATATGGAACTGATTGTACAAAACTATATACCAACACTTGAAAAACCTGCAGAACAGTTATCTGATAATATCATAATTTTACAAATTAATCATAACTTGTGTCTATTTACAACAATTGCATAAAAAAATCCATTTATAAAATCAATAGTTACATTGTTTGTCATTCACAATCAGGAATGTTGACTTCGATTCGTTACAGAAAAACGTTTATTTACTGAAATTCATGAAATATTTGCCACTGGGCGTTAAGCAAGCAACAATCAATTTATTCACCTCTATCTATTTTCCTTTTTAAATTCTTCACATAAGGGAATTAAGCTTTTATATCTCCCTCATGCAAGGCTCTCTGGATTTTAGATCTGTTTCGGTTTTATCAGCTATTCAGAGTTTGTATTAGGTTGATGATTTTCACCTTTTTTCTTACCTCGAGCATCACTGAAGAGAAATTTAAAATTGTTGAAATACGCATCTTGTGCAGTAAAATTGATACCGTTGATGTTACGAGAAGCAAATAATAATCACATAAGAAAAAGAAGATGAGACACAAGGAACATAGTTACTTTCGGCAGTTGTTAAAACAAATCGCATATTTTCTGTATATTTATAAACCTTAGCACCTTAATGGATAGAATCGATGATATGTACCGGTTTTTTCCAAATGTTTTGATATGTTGTGAAACAATAGAAATGCTTACATTTGAAGAGTGATAAAAATTGGAATATACAATTTATTAACAAAACAAAATGTCTATAGAATGGAAAGGTAAAAAGATCTGAATATACAAAGACATTCGATGTTGTATTCGAGGTGGGTAAGTGCAAATCCCATTATTTCATTTTCATAATGATATTTTCCAATGATTAAACAATTTTAAGGCTATATTAACTTCCATATATTAAGTCCTATAATTATTAATTTCGAGTTTTGATGGAATGCATAATTAATAATTGCTCTCATGATGCAATTTATATGTTGTAAATTCAAGTAGGAACTAATTTTGTAAGGCGGTACACATAACCACGTCCCAACCAATCATACTTCTATTTTAGTCAACATGAATTTCTTCCAATAATGTTATTTCCCACAAGAACTGTTCCCCGTTCACAAAAAGTTAATCAAATGCCTAGTTATCTGAACTTAACCAGAATATATGCATCTCACAATTGATCTAAAGTACAAAATCTAGGTCAAAGTGACGATACTCTATACCAAACCAACACATATAATTTCAATTACATCTATAAGTAACTTCTAAGTCATTTTAGCTGGACGTTCCCGTTCATCAACTCATAAGATGGCTGCTTATTGGCTTTATATGTGAAGCTCCCGTTCGTCATCTTATAAGATGGCTGCTGGATAGCTTTAGGTGTGAAGCTCCCGTTCATCATCTCATAAGATAGCTGCTGGTTAGCTTTGAGTGTGAAGTTCCTGTTCATCAACTCATAAGATGGCTGCTGTTTAGCTTGGAGTGTGAAGTTCCCTTTCGTCAACCCATTTGATGGCTGCTGGTAAGCTTTGAGTAAATTTGAAGAAATTCGACCTTTAGACAAAACAACATCTTTTATTAATAGAAAGTGACACCCACTCCCCACAACAACAAAAACACAAAAACACTTACACACTAAACAAACGCACAGAACCTGCACATAAACCAAAAACAAAAAGGAAGAACGGGGACAAAATAGAAATAGTAAACGATTCACCCTTTCATGTTCACTAGTTGCTTCCTTAACAGAAACGCTAAAGGTTTTGTGAAATGAAACTTGTGGCTCTAAAGAGCTTATGTCGCTCACCTGCATCTTCAACAATAGCCACTTCTTTTTTGTAAAAATCATCATTAAAGGGGAATAGCAGTATTAAGAGTTAACTGACAATTTCAGTTATGTTGACATATTTGATGATCGATCTTATCCTGCTGATTTTCTTTTTTTCTTTTTTAAAGTTTCTATTTATCTATTATAGTTTTCAAGATAATTGGTAAAAAACACAAAAAAGATGGTAAAAATTATCAATAAGGAGTCGACTGAAGATTTCTACCATGATGTCTTATTTGTAGATCTTTTCTTGCTGATCATTATTGTGAATTAAAGTTTCTTTCCATCTATTATAATTTTCGAGATAATGGGCAAAAATGAAAAAAAAGTTGGTGAAATTCGTCGTTTAAGGGCAATAAGTCGTCTGACAGTTTTGATGTCAATAGACATTAGGTAGATCTAATCATTCTGAACATTTTGTCCTTTCAGATTTTTCTCTGTCTTTAACGATTTTTAAGATAATAGCCAAACATTGCATTTTACCTCTGTGATCTATTTTAAGCCATATCGGCTGTGTTGGTCGGCAAGCGGTGTCATCGGACAAATTTTTGAAACTAGATACATGTACCCCAATAAAGTTTGTGGCCAAATTTGGTTCCAATTAGCCCAGTAGTGTCAGAGCAGTAGATTTTTGTAAAAGTTAATGGACGCCGACGGTCGATGGGTGCCAAGATGATGATGAGAAAAAGGGCCAAGTGAGCTATAAAAAAAAAGACACAACAACAACACTTATACCTGAATTCATTTTGTTTTCATATTTGATTTGGTAAAAAACATATTTTCTTTCTTTTTTTTTTCAAAACCAAATCTACTTTCTGTTTATGCTTTGAAGTGTTGAGGTACAGATCATCTGACATGACATCTTTTCGGATTCACAAAAGTAAGCATATCATACAAAAGCAGTCGGTGAATAACCTTAAATATGTTATAAATTCACGTCTCAGTATATATGTACATAAAACCATGCTGATAGGATTTTGTTACTGCAAATGCCGTAAACCTGGAAACAGTTGAAAATGGAATATAATTTATGGAAAAAAAAAATATGCCATTTTTCTATAGATATGCCGCATTATTTAAAAGGCTGAATTATATAAAAAGAAAATCATTCAAATAAGCTGTACTTGTATTATTACATGTAAAGTAAGTTTTACTTACAGACTTTCATTTCAAAAAACTGCATCTGACAAAAAGATTTTTTTACCTAAAATACAACGTAGTTATATCTTAGTCAGTTTACATTGTTGTAGAAAATGATAGCATATGGCGACCTTAATTGTACATGTGTAGGCCTATCTAGCATTATAACGATACATTTGGTGCAAAGCTTTGCAAAAATTGTGAAAATAGGATATAATGTTTGGGAAAAATTGACGATTACAAAATAAAAAATATATGAGAAAATGTCGCTCATCAAACGTAAACAGATTTTTAAAAATTGGTTAAACTTTATAAACGCCGATTTTAACCACAAAAATCCCATTTTGATCATTTAACAATTATTGGCGAAATGAAAATAAGCGAAACGAACAAAAGCAAAAAATAACATCATCGTTTTTATTTTTGGTCAGTTACTTTTAGTATATTATGATATCTTGTGCCGATAGAACATCTTCATTTAGAAATTTACATGACTCATTTGAAAGGTATTTAAAAAAAACCATTATAGATTTAAGGGAAATTCTCAATAACTACTACAATTAACTTATAAACTAAGAAATGTGATGACCCAAATGCAGATAATAAGCCCGGATAACAACATGTGTAATTACATAAAATTGAACATCCATTGAGTCTGACACTGTTTTACAGTGCTTTTAACACGGCCTTGAGAGTACTCAATTAAAATAATGTATTTAAAATTGTTTATCACGCGTTTGATATTTAAAAACGGATATTTCTCATTGCCGGTGAACTCTCATTGACAGCTGGTCATTTCAGATAAAAATCGAATATTACTTATATGTTTGTGACTGTACATGTATTATTAGATTGAATGAGATTCGGACTGGCATATAACTAAAATCAGCATGGATGGTTATATTACCTGCTGTGCTTTCATAGTATTGTACATTTGTATGAATGGTAAGATTTCGTTAATAGTTCAATGTACCCAATGTGCACGACGCTTGGAACGTAAAACAACTTGCATGCAGCAAATTTAATTTTCAATAGGGCTTAGCCCTGTTAATATATTAATGTATCCAAAGTTTGAACAGGGCATTATATTATAAGGTAAATGACGAACCAAATTAAGTATTGACGCTTTACGTTTGCATCAACGCCTATCACTTATTTCATTAAGGCGTTTGAAGATAAATCAAACTTTACTTCGACAACGGACTTGTCAGGCATCAAGATAAACCATGTAGTATACATGATATACCTTTAAGAGCTTGCTATGCGGTATAGGTTTTGTTCAATGTTGAAAGCCGTACAGTGACCTATAGTTACTAGTTATGTACATCTACGCCATCTGGTCTCTGGAGGAGAGTTGTCTCATTGGCAATAATACCACATTTTCTTATTTTTATAATGAGAGTATTTTTAAGTTTAGATTTGTTGGTAACCGGGAAATAACTTATATGTGAGAAATCATGATTCATCGCTCCCCCAAATAAAAACACGTATGTCTGATAATATAACGAATCCGATACCTAGATTTAAATTTGATACCGCATTTTCTCATAAAGCTTTAAATGTGTGAATATGCAGGTATTGAACCAATCCATTTTCCTTAATTTAAATTATAATTTAAATTAAAAATATTCAATTAAATATACCATGAATTAATTTCAAATAGGAAAAAAGGGGGGGGGGGGGTAGGGCTGCACTGATTATACTTCAAACTGATCGATCGAAGTTTGACATTTGCTCTTATTTTTGTTGAACTATCATTCCGTCTTTAATACTCCTATTATATTTACTTGTTATGCTTTCTAAATATGAGCCTTCTAGTATTAAATTTTCCTTCAGTGAAATTCATTATTAATTTTGATAGGTTCAATTTCCATGTTGAGTTATCTAAATAGTACTAAATGCAAGGTGATAATTTGTCTAAAATTGGTATAATGTTTATCAGGAGGTTGCTGTTTGTGAACTTTTAACCCGTTAAGGCATAAAGAAACACAATGTTTTGTTTTTATATTATTTTTATTCTTTTATAGCTGAAGCCAAACAGTTCACACCAAGTCAAAGGAGTCCTCGAGTAGAATTTATTGACGATCAAGGAATTTATACTGAAGCCAGTTACTATACTTTAACATTAAATCTTACAAGCGACGAATTTGGTATGTCTATAAAAAAAACTAGATACGATTTAAAATGGCAGCTTAAAGAAAACAATCTTAAATGGAAAAAATGTCCTAGTTCTGAACTCTTATTACCATTACTAGTATGTGAATAGCATGTTTTTTTTCATTACTTGTAACTTTTAGTATTGAGGCAAATATATTGAATAAATATTATGGGAAATAAATATTTTAAGAATATAGATTGAAGTAGAAACAAGTAACCATTTATTTAGCATCCTTTCACAGAAAAATAGTCCTGTTTTCCAAACGATTTCTATGACATTGATTTGAAATAAGTTAATAAACAGCTTCATAGATATCTAAAGAAATTATTAATAAGTATTGATGTGTACTTAACAAGCGTTCTCTCCATGAATCTGTTTTAAAACGACGAATTTCTGTTACCATTTTTATCAGTGCTCCCGTTTTTAATACTTTGGGATAATTACACAGACAAAATGCATTCGCCTATGTGCTGTTCTGTATTTTATTATATACATGTAAAATACCAACGAAAACATAGTAAATGTATTTTTTCAGAGTGAAGAGAGTTCGTAAATATCAAATAAATTACTACAACAAAGAAAGAATAACTAGAATACACTTGGAGGAAAATACTAAACCAAGAAACATTGAAAAATAAAGATATTGCATTATAAATTTTATGCATTCAAAAGTTAAGATTTTCAAAGACATGAAAGCAAACAGATGATTCGGAAGGAAAAATGCAATATAAATAGAATTTGAAAACTCAGATAGAATAAGCATGCATATACTTATCTCTTATTTTTGTCCGTAATTCCTATGCTAGTTTGAAGGTAACTTAAATATTGTTATCGAAAACTTCAGCTTCCCCATCAAGCTACAGCAGTCTACGTCCAGGGCAAGCGACATCAACCCATAGTTGTAACTACATCAGAGGGGTTCCAGCTTCTCTCCGAAGATCATCCAACATTCAACCAAACGGACTTTCAAATTTTTATCAAAAGTACACTGAAGCATACGGGATTCCAATTTTAGGTATGGTAATACTGGTGTTTTTAACCTTCTGCAATGATAATTATTTGATGCTACTGAAAAGACTTAGTGAATAATACATTGTAACAATCATGTCATAAACTTTGTAACGAATGAATTACAGGGACAACAAAAGTGTCAATTATCTCTACCGTTTCCTAATCTAAACTCATTGTTAATGAAGCAGGCTGTTGGGAACGAAACAAAATGTTAAGACATAATGTCTAAATAAGGTTATCTTACGCAAAGGGGTTTAAATGTACAACTCCAATTTTTGAAAAAAAACTAACCAAAGGAGTAGGTCCGGTAAGGGCCGATTTTGGCCTCAAATTTCAGGTTCATCTGACGAAAGATTTTGGACATTTTTTAAACACTTAACTGTCTATTTCAGTTGATTCAATTAGTTTATGTGAAAATTTTTAACTGATTTAATCATTAAAAACGCTCAGATTTAAGCTCAGATAAGAAATATCTATCAAATATGACGAAAAACGGCACTTTTCAGATGTTTTTTGTCAAAAATGAAAGTGGCCGCATCCGTGTTCATCCTCAACCGTTATATATGTTATGTATTATCATCAAATACAACTTACATTTCAATATTAAGAATGAACACAAATGCGGCCACTTTCATTTAAGATGGAAACCGTCTAAAATTTAACTAAAATGCTAAATTTGTAAAGATTTCAGTAATTTAGCATGACTTGATGATTCTAGTACCCAATATATGTGCATTGAATTGTCAAAAACAGCCCATATTTATGTAGCAGAAGCATTATACTCTCCATTAAATAACTAAAAGTTTACATTTTAACAATTTTGTAAAACTGCTATATTTTGGGGCCAAAAAGGGGTCTTACTGGACCTACTCCTTTATCCATAGATATCTTCGTAAAACGCTTATATATGTTGTTGTTTTAAATAAACTGGTTTTAGGTATACGTTCTGAATACTTATAAATTCAGGGCTATTGGTACACAGTTTGCATGTTATAATGCTTTAATTTGCAATGCTATCGACAATATATATATATATGTCAGTTGTAAATAATAGACATAATAAATACATATTAAATAACAGCCATTCTTTACCTAACTTAGCACTGATCACATTAAGATCGTTAGTAATAACCAGCCCATATATCAAAAGTCAAGGTTTCAATTTTGATAAAAAGATGCTGACTTTCTGGTTTGTTTTACAATTTATTTAGCCGAACAGTTAAAGGATAAAGGCTAAAAGTACTAGGGCATTAACAACCTTTTCCTGTATATGTACACAGTAGGTATAGTGTCTGGCTGGGATCGTTTTTTGCGAGTGATCAGTTTTTTTTTCGAGTGTGACCACGTTTTTTCGAGTGAATATGATCAAAAAAGTTAACAAACAGACTTCTTCTTTTTATAAGACGTGAAATAGATACTTAAACTTAATATACAAGATCATACAAGGTAGGTTAGTATTGGTGACAAAAAGATCATAACCCCTACATTATTTTGTGTTCTAAAAGTTTAGTTAGCTTTCCAATGCTTTTATTCCAAAATATAGAATAAAGCTATTTTTATACAAGTACCAATGCAATTGTCAAAGGAAATGAATATTTCGAATCTATTTGCATTCGGGTTTATATGATCCGTTCATCCTATTTTGACTCTTTCAAAATTCAAGAGTAAATTGAGGTAAATTATATCATATCCAGAAATCAACGCCACTTTGCTTATTTGAATATTATACTAAAGAAATCGGATACGGGTCACGGAAATTATATTGAAATGATAGGGAATTTTGAAAAAAAATTCTGTTTTAACTTTAATTTAAGTGATAGACAGGTTGCGGGGACAGAAAATAAATATACACAACAATATACACCATTTAAACGAAACATAATGACTGTCGTTGCAAAAATCAAGGTTCCTGAGCTATTTTAAAAATTGAAGCGAGAGGCTTTTAACATTGCAGTATAAAATACAGGCTAAAATGGCTGAAACGTCTAATTTGCAAACTTCGTGTTGAAAATTGGCTAACAAGGTCATTACAAAAACAGGTTGCAGGGATGAAACTTGAAACTTGAATGTCCAAAGAATAAGCAAGCCCAAACCTTGTATGTGTAGTCGTTGGACTCTAGGTTCCCACATAAAGTTAAAATGCCCCTATTTCAAAAAGAATAAACTCACGAAAACACGAAAAATTCACTAAATTCGCGTTCAATTGTTTTGATTTTGACCGACTGACAACTTTACGGAAAATATCGGAGTGATTATAAACAAGGACTCTGTGACGGGCAACTTATAATATCCGTGTTTTAAAGATTTTAATGATATCAAGCCAGTCCAGTTCAAACTATTATCACGTGGTACAATTCTCATTAACATATTATGAATATTAATTAGCAAAAGTACTACTAATTTCTGGCTATGTGGCCTTCCAAATACCTGGATCCGATTCCTAACATGCATCAATGAAGAGACATTAATTGTCGAAATCCGGATATGGTGTACAAATTTTTGCACCTCATGTTTGCGGTATACCATCTTTTCCGCAAGTTTATTGTTTTCTGGTAATAAATTAATAATAAGATCTATTTTGTTACATCTTGTGATCCGCTTATTTGGCAATCGCCAATGGCAGTCAGCAGGGTTTAAGAACATCAGTTGTTCGACCTGCTAGTCAAATGCGTTTTGTTAAAATATACTTTTTTACTCATTTGGTCTTTTGGAAAATGTTTTCCCAGACTAAAGTGTCAAGCAGTACAATGTTGGGTTGAGACGTACGTAAAGTGTGTATTCATTGTGTGTGTTACGCGGGTTTAACAGAAAATATATCCTAAATGTTTCATTTACTAATTGTCTTGATGATAATTTGTTTTATCGTCCTATGAATGGAAAACAATGTATGTTTTTTTTAATTTTAGTTCATTTATATGTTTTGGAGTTTAGTGTGACGTCCATTTTCACTGAACTAGTACACAATTTTATTTAGGGGCCAGCTGAGGACCACCTCCGGATGAGGGATTTTCTCGCTGCGTTGAAGACCCATTGGTGGCCTTAGGCTGTTGTCTGCTCTTTGGTCGGGTTGTTGTCTCTTTGACATATTCCCCATTTCCATTCTCAATTTTAAGAACAATTTTCAAATGCTACTACTATGATAAGGAGTATGATCAAGCGTATGTTATACTTGGTCACACAGCAATAAAACACCATGATAGCTTCTTTTTTTATCAGTTAGTTAAAAAAATGAAAAATACGGATCTCTTTCTAGACATTACACTTACCAATGTATATCTACGGAACTCTGCGGAAGACATGAATTAAATATACGAGATGTACGCTATTGTATACAAATTTTTCTTATTATTATTTCAAAATGATCATATTGTCTATCGGAAATAGTACATTGGCGGATTAAGTGATTTTAATTTTTTTTTCTTTTTTTTGGGGGGGGGGGGGGGGGGGGGGGGGGGGCTTGGCTGTTTTAGACAGTTTTACAAAGAGTCTAGTAATTTCTGATATATCTTAATACTGCAAGGTTATGGTAAAATAATTTCAGAACATAAAATTATCATTAAATTGAAAAGGGTTAAATTTGATCAAAATAGTAATATGTTTTGTTATTTATTAGGAATTTTTAGTATTGCCCTTCGCTAAATTACAGTTACAAACAAGAAAAAGTTAGTTTTTATGCCCAAGAATGCCTTGTGTCCTATTCACATTTTCTTTGAAAAACCCGGACGTTTTAAATGTTACTCTCGAAAAAAACACGGACAATGTAAAACACTGAATTATAAGTCAACTACAAGAAAATTGTGCTGCGTCGTTTGTTCTCAAAACATTATTATTAGTCAGAATAAGATGAACAGTCACGAATAAAACTATTATATACGCGAAATACCAGTAAACTGATCTGGACGCGTGTAATATCACTCGAAAAACTCTGATCTACACTCGACAAAAGTGGACCGATTCACTAGAAAAAATACGATCTCCGCCGGACACTATGCCTACCGTGATGTACATTATAGTATTATTATAATTTAAGATGGCATGTTGAAAATCGACTGCTTATCACTTTGATTATTATTATTATGATCAAACATATTCTTTGTTCAACAAATTTGCATTCTTTAGGGTTGCTGATACTTTTCCCCGATATCTGTATAATGTTGACTCATTCACTTTTCATATAGCAATTTATGATTCAAGACAACCAAGTTGTAATTTACATACATGCATAAACATTATATACATATATTTTATTCAAAATATATATATCACTTTTAGCATCAAGGAATGTTCCTGATGACGCATTGAAACGTGCTTGTTATATAACCAGATTTGTGTTTGCTGATAACTATGCTGTGCGTAATTCCTTTTACAAAAGATCAGGAAGGACTGCAGTTATAGGACAACGCGAAGGAACGACCAACATCCCTGAGCACAGTTTTCTTCCTGCATGGTGGAATCAAAGAGCACGCGGATTAGGAGCTACAGACTATGCACCAGTTTCCACTGGGGGAGAGGAAAATCTATTGTGCTATCAAAATGATCGATACCGGAGTGAAGACATATATTTACATGAATTTTCGCATGGAGTCCACAATTTAGGTGCAAAATATGCAATAAGTGGATGGAATCAAAGACTTATAAGTCAATACACAAACGCTAAACGCAGAGGTCTTTGGACTAGAACCTATTCCATGAGTACAGTGGAGGAGTATTTTGTAAGTAAATCTCTGTGTAAATATGAAGATTCATATTTCATATAATAAAACAAAGCCGTTAAAAGCCATACGCGCGTTTTGTCTACAAGAGACTTATCAGTGGCGCTCTAAACAAAACAGTTAAACGGTCAAATAAATACAGGTTGAAAAGCAAGTTCTGAAAAGTTTTATAAAATGTAGAAAATTAACCGACCACAAAATCACCTTATACCTCCTATTTGTATAGCAGCTTTATACGGTCATTAAAATAAACTTGTTATGTCCGGGCCTTTTATAGCTGACTTTACGGTATGGGGTTTGCTAATTGTTCAAGGCCATACGGTGACTTATAATTTCTTACATGCACGTCATTTGAACTTTGGTATTTGATAATAAGCATGTCGCATTCTTCATATTTTACTTGTCCCTATATCTGTATTTTCCTATTATCATATATAATATTTAGAGTATTGTCTGGTGTTATCCATTTCATGAGCATATGATTAAAAATGGTTGCAGAGTCAGTTACGGTCATTCTCATTTTCTAGCACTGGGTCGATACTACTGCTGGAGGACTGCTAGTTTCCGAGGGTATCTTCACTGCTCATTTCCATTAGGCTGATTTATATTTTGACGAAAAACTATGCCCAAAATTGCGATTTTAGGTCAAATAAGTAAATTTTACCATGCTAATGACGTCAGAGGAATATAACAAGTGACCTTTCTGCACTATAGTTCCCAGATTAAAGCAAATGGTTCATTTACAAATAAAACAAAATTAAGGTGGTACATAACACTACAGGGAGATAACTCAGTAAAAATCAGCTGAACGTTTTAATCACGTTGTATTGTTTTGGAAATTTAAGCTTCTCAATGATCAAAATTATTGTTTGTCGAACTGCTATATATCCAATGAAATTTTTCCGATAAAGTGTGTGGTTCAAGATTTTAATTTTTTAAAATTTTTGTCAAAGGGTCAAAGTAAATATTTTGTCAAAATTTTATGAAAATTAAACGAGCCAAATTAATTTAAGTCAAGATGTTTGGTACCACCTTAACATAGTTTTGAAAGACATGAATAAATTTCAGTTATTGCATTTCAGGGTATCAAATAATGGCACTTATCATACCTTCTCCTTTTTAAAGTTTTGTTTTCATTTCAATTTTTTTTATGTAATACGTAGAATTTCATCACCAACATCATTCATCAAAGAAAGTATAAGTATGAACAAATGATAATCAATCTAGCTCCTACATCAATATTATGGAAATTAAACCACTGAAATTACAATATTACAATATAGATAGCAACAATGCTTAATTCGATTTGGTTGATGTAAAAAATAAAAATAAAAATAATACAAAAGTACGTCAAGTTAAAAGGCATTTTTTTACAGGCAGAGGGAGTTCAGAGTTTCTTCAATGTGAACGACTATAGCAATCCACCAAATGGCATCCACGGAACCATTGACACAAGAGATAAACTAAAATCATATGATCCTGTCTTGTATGGACTAATTGAGGAAGTGTTTCCTTGTAAAAATACATATTTGAAGAGATGTGACTCAAACAGAGGTATCATGACTTGATTTTTTTCATATATTTTAAGTGATCACATAATAACTGGTGAATTGAATTTTTTGAATTCAAATTCAATTGCATATTGTTATTTTTCTAAATATACGATTATTTTTCTCTTTTTTATTCGTAAGCATGACTATCATTCAGTCTTAGCGTGGCGGCCTATTAAAATGCATGGTTGATGATCAGGTCTCATGATGATGGTGATGATGATGAAGACGCAAGCAGATAGTTTACTTGCCATATAACTCAGTGATAAAATAAAGATGTTGCAGCCTGTTCGAAGTGAATTATGTATATTTTCACTAGTTATATCTTACCTGCCTCTCAATAAATAAAATGAACACAAGTGACATAACTTATTTATTCAAATAAGGTATCTGGCGCATATCTCATACATATAATGCTTTTATAATAAAAGTTAAGACATTTTGTGGTAAACGGGAGATAATCCAATTTAAAACATGTCCCATCGTCCGTCACACATGCATAATAAATTACATTTGTACGTTAAATATACTTAACAAATTATGTATCTGTTTAGTCGCTTCTGTTGTATTTTCTCTACTAAATAAATAAGTGGAAACGAGCATAATACATAATGTCATATAAGAAATAATCTTTATATCAATGTTTTAACATTTGTCAGCTTCTGAAGCTACCCAGACATTCAAAACGAACTGTGACAGTAACGGCGGTGGAACGAGCACCGGTGGAGGGAACGGCAATGGTGGTGGAACAGGAACCGGTGGAGGGAACGGCAATGGTGGGGGGACCGGAGGCGGAAACGGTAATGGTGGTGGCACTGGAGGTAGAGGTTACGCTAATTATGACATAATATATATATAATCTCAGAAAAATCTCATTTGGTGATGTCATAATTGAGACATGAAAACTTTGTTTGTTTTTCTGTTTTGAATTGTTTCACATTTTGTCATGGTGCCTTTCATATCTTACTGTACGCTATTTTGTTTTGCTCATGGCTGAAGATCGTGCGGTTTTCATATAGTTTACATCCTCGTCATTTGAGGTATGTGTATGGTGGTTAGTTGTCTCATTGGCTATCATACCATATCTCCTTATATATACTCCCTGTTGCATGCTGTTAAACATTTTGTCTGACGGGATGAGGTATAAATGTTCTGACGTGTGCTAATACAAATTATGTCCATTTTCACCTCCGTTAGCCTGTCTTAGTTCATGAAGCGTTGTTTTTGAAAAGAAAACAGTGAAGTTCTGTCGTTGACAGTAGATTGAACAATGGTTGTTTTAGTATGTGTATATATGGTTAATGATCGTTTTTGGGCATTGCACAGATAAATATATGTTGGAATTAAGGGGTATAGACTTTATTTATTTCTATGCATCTAGTTAACATCGCTTTTAATTGATCAACATTATATCATATGAAAAATGATTATTAGCGATTTTAATGAAGCGAAGTCATAAGATAGCTTCAACGTTTACCAAATATCATATTTTACGTGTTTTATTAACATTGTACTAAAAGAAATTCGGAAGATACCAAAGGGACATTTAGGCCAATAAGTCGATGACAATCTGACAACGCCATGACAAAAAGACAAACAACAGTATACAAAACACAAAAACAGTAAAAAACAAAACAAACAAAGACTTAGCAATATGAAGCCCACCAAAAACCCGGGGTGATCTCAGGTGATATATAGGGTGAGCAGATTCTGCTCCACTTGTAGCAACCGTCGTGTTGCTCATATAAGTACACATTCGGTGAACAGTTTAATTCCGTGATGTCACACACGAGGAAAAGACGACGGAACTAAGGTGTTTTATTTGATAAAACTGTCAATTTAATAATTTTGAAAATCTATGCCTGTTAAATAATTTTTCACAGCGTAGTTGTGTAGATGATAGTTATATACAAACAGATACAATGTATTCTACACAAATATATTACAGATTGTTCAGATAACAATCAGAGTTGTCAGAGTTGGGCTGCAAGGAATGAATGTTCCAGGAATCCTCGTTATATGCTAGTTAATTGCAAAAAAAGTTGTAATAAATGTAGTGGAACTGGTAAGTTTACTGTTACATGAAATTAAGGCGATAGTAGTTTACCGATGTTCAAATCTCTTATTTCGATTAGGAAGAGACAAATCAAGGTAATAAACAGCAACTGAGGGTATCGCATAAACTCCAAAAGTAGTGAGACTCTGTGCGTCGACAGGTCAAGTGTCTCCTGCTATGCATGGAATACTCGTCATGCGAATTCACACTCGGTAAACATTTCACAATCGGCAACATAACATACTGGTATCTAAATATCTTGGACAACGAAAACAACTCGCTAGAGACGTGAGATGCCGACACGTTGTATTTGTCAACCAATTCGTCATGGTGATGTTAAAACATATGTACTTTCGATTTCGTCGATTTAGTCATTCTTTCTCATTATCTATATTAGTTTTATGGTTTTTTTTTCACATTAGGGGGCTCACTATGCGAGGATAACAACAGAAATTGCCGGAGCTGGGCATCCATCGGTGAATGCAGTAATAATCCTGGATACATGCTTCAAAACTGCAAGAAAAGTTGCAACTCGTGTTAGATTTTCTGTGCACTATAAAATATTTGTCTAAAGCATTCAAAATAAATCCTCCTACTACTTAAACAGTTGTATTGTATTGCATGTACTTGGAACATGAAGATATCTCTTTTTTACTCATAGAAATTTATTAACAAATGTAAAAAAAACTTCTTTTGCTTTAAAAAGTATAACAACAACACAGAACTCCAAGGCAAATTCAAAAAGAGGAAGTCCACACAAATACTGACAAAATCAAACGCCATCAATCAAAGAAACAAGCAAAAACAACTTCCATAGTCCTGACTTGGTACAGACATCTTCCCAAAAAAGTGGTGGATTGAATCTAGTTTTATAGCTATCCGTCAGAAAATGTGCAGTAGCTAGTAAATTAAACAATGATGTCAAAAACAAAAAAGATTTGTCGTAAATAGTACATACCGTATATCCACTTTCTTGATAAAGTAAAAATTAAGTAAATATAAATAAAAAACTAAACAAAAAAGGAACAACACTGTAAAACCATTTTGTCCGAACGACTCCAGTGGACCCCCTGCATCAGGAATGCCCAAAGTTAAAAGTCAAAACCCCGACGGCGGGATAATTTTACCAAAACATATTAAGTATTGATGTTTTCTATAGGAAATAGAACTTTGAAAATCAAAACAGAAAGATATTTTTTTATTTCATCAGGGTGTTACGTGCCAAATAACAATGCTTCAGAAGTAATCATTTGCACGCCATTATTACAGAAAAATCTGATTTTTTAAAGTTTTCGTGTAAATAGAAAAAGTAGAAAAAAAGATAAAGAAGTTAATACATTTTCATTTGTTGTTTCATCCGGTTCACAAATCATTGTGATGACTGTTTTTGTGTCTAATTTGGTGTTAAATTCTCCCTCGCCATGCTCGTCCGAATTTAAAACATTTCTTTACTAAAATCCTTGGTATAATAAATAAAACAAAACTCTAGGTATAGGTTTAGTTGCTCGCAGTAACTTTTCTCTTTTCTAGCAAGCAATGTTTAAAAACATTATAAACCAACATATTATAAAAACAATATTTAAAGTACAAACACAATTGTCCGATAGAAATCAAACTTGATATTATAATCATACATTATTATCTGACAATAAACTGCAAACTGATTGTCGTAGTTACTGTGATCACTTTCGGTGAAATGACACCCACAAATTTTCTTTATATAATATAACGGAACCCCACCTTTTAAACCGCCAAAGTATTTCACGTGCATATATTACTCATATATATTTATATCCCAAAACAAGAACCCGTTATACAACTACTCTCACTAACCAGTTTTGAACATATAAACAGTATATTTATACAGAGATGGGTCCGATTACTTTCAATGTAATTGATTAAATTACAATTACTTTGTCAATTGTACGATTAAATTAAATTAATGATTACATCATTTCTCAAAGTAGCTGATTAAAATAATGATTACATTGGCAAGTAATCATGATTACATCTGATTACAATGAATTTTAAAATAACCCATTTGAATGATGTTAATAAATAAAGATTACAACTGTAGCATGTTTTGAGAAAGGATTTTATTTGATAAAATTTTATTCATTGGGAAATAAATGCCTGTTAACTAAGTCAGGAATATGACAGTTGTTATCCATTCATTTGATGTGTTGAGAACAGTATTTTGTTATTTCACTGTTTGATATGTTGAAATGATAACTTCCAAATTCAAAATGATAACTTCCAAATTCATTGATTTAATATACCACTAAGAAACACAACATAAAAACATGAACATTTTGTCACTGGTTATGGTCATTTACACTTTACCATTATATAGTTATTAATCTTTGAAATATTTTGACTTCTATTGAATAAAGGTTTCTAAAGAGGCTTGGCTATTGTCTTTCTGACATCTTACAGATTTTATATGTTTTCAGTTATCAGTCAAAAACACATCTAAAAATTGTAATAGTATTGTTTAATAATCATTACATTTTACGTGTACTTATATATACCAGCATTTGTTTATTTTAAAAAAACATATTTCTCACAATTTTGCTTGTGCTAATGAGAAAAATTTTCTTTTATCTTTTATCATATTGCCCTAGGTACAGAAAAGGTAATTGAAATAAAAAATACTTTAATTGGTCCCCTACCTGTTAATTTAAATGTGACAATAATCACAATATCAACAAAAGGCTTAGTATTAACTACATACTCGTGCCAAAAATAAACAACGCAAACATAATCTTAGTTTGCCGACAGCCCGTCATGCTCGATAGAAAACACAAAGAACAGGGGATCAGGAAAAAGGAAACGTTACAGTCCAAGTGTTTGTGACACTTTTAGCCTCTTTTCAATAGAGTTCACAATATAACTATCTTTACTTTTCTCTGTTTTCCATCTCCCGTGTCTTTTCAAACATCTACTATCGTTAGCAATATGATTTGCGGCTTCGGTTGCCCCACCAGAACGAAGTGAATGTAAACCTAAATTTAAATTCCCAGAGACTAATTTAAGTATAGAAATAATGTTCTCTCTAGCTGACGTGTAACTAAGCTTTTTATTTTTGTAAATTAATTTACAAGTATTCCCTGATCTAAAAACAGGCCTGAACAAAAACATTTCTGACCCTTCAACAAAACCTGCTAACCGAACATATTTCAAATACATATTAAACGGACAAGCAACTGAAAAACCTTTGGAAATCAACACTCCATTTCCTTGCCTATACTGGTCAGTCTTGCTTTTGTTTAGATATAAAACTAGAAAATCATCTTTAACTTTCACATCGCTAAAATGTAAAGAGCTTAATTCATCATATCTAAGAAACCCCGCGAAACCTAATAAAGTCATAGTCAAATCCCTTATAATCAACAAGTCTCCTGAATCTGAATATTTTTCACAAAGTTGTTTCAACATATCAGTAGTAACCGGTTCTTTTTTAGTAACAGTTTTGTAAGCAGTACGTTTTGCAGCTTCCTATATGGATGAAACAAGTGAGTTTTCTGTAGGATCGGCTAAACCATTGATCTCGTGTGCCCATTTAATACCGTACTTAATTGTCAATTGGGTGAAAAGTTGAACCTTGATCAAGCAAATGAGTAAAATAAAGTGCAATATGAATAGGTTGGGCTGGCAATGCAGCAAAACCGAGCTTAGTTATATACTGTTCCCAACGCCTAAATGCGTAAAAATGAGATTTTGTAGTATTGTCACTTCTGCTTCCTAGCAGTAACTTGCACATCTTAGGATAAAGCTGATATAAAGGACTGTCTGTTTTAACTCCACTCTCCAAAACGGCTGCCTCTACGTGCGCATTAATCTTTAAACCTATTGTAAATATAAAAAAAACAAAATCAAAATTTTATTTTCAAAGCAACAAGTCTATTTTAATTGATGGTTTACCGAAAAGACCATTTTGGCCTCTTCCTTTCTTGATCAAATTATATCCATGTAAATATTTGTAATCGACTACAAAATTTTGAAATTTTGATTCGTGTGTTAACATACACCAGTACGGTGCTGATCTCCACTCCGGTACAATTAAAGTACCTTCACAACGTTCTGTTGTCAATTTGTAATTAGTGCAGGAGGGGGCACTAACCAATTGTTCTCAGTTGTCCAGTTCTGTTTAAAAGCATCTATGCCTGAGGTATCTTTGCAGAAAAACTTAGAATTAAACATTTTGCATTTTGTGATGTAATCGCATGCAAAACGGTCACATGTGAAAATACCCCATAAATCATTTAGATATTCAAAAATCCATGACTGAATACCCCAGTCATCACAATCTGACTGTCTACTTAATTTATCAGCTTTGGTATTCTATTCTCTAGGGATCCAGTCACATGACATGTCAATTGAATATTTACTACATGTATCGTGTACAGACATAGCTTTTTCTTGTAAATAGGGTTTTTTACTTCCTACTTTAAGGATGTGTGATACATTTTTATTATCTGTGTGTATTTTAACTGATTTCCCCTCTATCCTACTTACAGAGTTCTTTAAAACCCTGTCTACCGCCTCTAACTCTCTCCAAGTTGAACTCTGTTTCATTTCAGTATTTGACCAACTACCAAACATATTTGGTTCATCTGATTCATCTGTCGAATCAAAGGTCAAATGACCACCATAGCCTACATCAGAGGCATCACAAAACATCTGTACATTTTCAGATGTAACGTCTGTCAACTGACTCAGTTCAGAACCCTTTTCATTGAGTTTGTCTATATTTTTGAACCAAAACTCAAACTCGGCAATTGCCTTCCTGTTCAATACCACCAAAGAATTCCAACTGGCTTTTGCTAAAATGCAATCGTAAGAAAACCGAGTTCTCAAACGAACTTCATCTCCCACTACTGCCTGTGCAGAGATAATTTGACCTACTATAGAAGCCAAAAAACATACTTTCACCAAAACGTTCATATTGCATCCTATTTGCAAAAACAAACTGTTTAAGCAGTCCTTGAATTTTACGACTCCTTTTTCACTTAATCGTATAAGACCTTCGATCAAATCCCAATCAAACCCGAGCCACGTAAATTTTTGTGCCGGTTCCCAAATACATTTTTCATGTGCTATAACAAAACCAAAACTTTCAAGGTCTGACTTAATCTGTTTACTTGCTTTCCAACACTCAGACGAGGTTTTACCTCCACCTAACCCATCATCTAGATACATTACTATTTTGAAACCGTCGTTTCTCCAATACCTTACAAGTTCTCTCATGACTTTGGAAAATATGTATCCACTTGTTGACAAACCAAAAGGCAATACATTAAAAACGTAGTACTTATTTTCCCACTTAAAACCAAAATATGTTCTACCTGAAAAACAAATTTCCACATGATGATAGGCACTCTTCAAATCATAGGAAAAACAAAAGTCACCTTTATTAAAGATTTGTCGAGCTGTGCTAGCATCTTCATATTTATACCGAAATTTGAAAAGATGCGGATTAATGTGTCTTGCATCAAGAACTAGTCTGAGTTTGTCCTTTTTGTTTCCTGCTATTGTTAAAGGATTGACAACATGTGGAATATAATTAACCTCGCTTATGCATTTTTTCTGTAATAACTTGTTTATTTCCCCTAATACAAATCGAGGATTATCCTTCGCTGACCTATTGTTTTCAAGTTCAACCTTACCTGGTATTACCATAAACGGTATTTTAAATCCGTTTTTTATTACATCTAAAATATATTCATTTGCGCCTATTGATAACCATTTTGTAATATGAGTTCTTAATCTACCTGCCGGCGATATAATGTTTACATTTGAGATGTCAATTTCATTGTTTTGCTTGTTCATTTCATTCCAAAGGGGTTGTCTCAAAACATTGTTGTTGTATGTGTATCTACTATTACTGTTATTAATATCAAACAGAAAAACAGTACTTATCTTATCACTTTGTCGATTCTGACTTGCGTCTCTTGTCACCTCTGGACATTCTCTTCTCCAGTGGCCCGTCTTATTGCAGTTAAAGCATTTCCCTGGTCTGTCGATGTGGGTTGTTCTTGTGGGAATAGTGTACGGAGCTGGTGATCTAGGAGCTGGTTTCCTTTTTGCCTTTTCTTTCTTGATTTTCGCTTCCGCTCTAGTTTGGGCTTTGTACATTCTTTTTTCGTCCTCTGAATTTTCAGCTAACGGATTAGCGGTATATTCCGCTACAACTCTCCAACCTGCTTCTGAGGAGTCCGCTAGCTTTATTAATTTCTGTCTGTCTCTAATTAAACCCATACATTCTGTAATCTTGTCCTTGGCCGATTCGATATTATCCTTTGTGAGATTTTCCTGATTCAGCTCACTGTTCGCTTCTTTTAACTTCACCAAAACTTTACTGTTATGTTTGTGTTGCTCCTCGTTCCCCCTTTTTTTGAACTTATAGTTATCGGACAATGTCTCGTCTAGTTTTGCCATTTGGGACTCCGCTAACGCCTTCTGAGTAGATTGGAAATTCTTGTTGAAACACTCCAGGCGGTTATCTAAAAGGGTGGTCATGCTATTCAACAATGTTTTCTGTGAATTCTGAAAGGCAGCTTGAACTTCATTTTGTATTTCTGATCGGATTTCGGCGTCCATCTTAAGTTGAGTGTTCACTCGTTGCACGACAGCTAGAAAGTGACCCTATGCTTTATTACCAGAAAGTACACCCATTGGTCACTATAAGTGACCCTATTATATATTCATACGACCCGTACCCGTCAATACAATATTTTCCCGCTATACTTAAACAAAACGCGGGAAAATACAATAATTCAGGTTTAACAAAAGTATAACATGAGTAAAACAATCATCAAATACACATCTTTTAATAGTGAATATATGTATAATACTTTTTATTTAGGCTAACAATGACTTTCAATATTGTAACATTTTATTTTTTAAAGAAGTAAATAAATCAATTAAGCCTAAACTAATACTAGCATGAATTATTTACAATAAAACCTATGATCAATGAAATAGTTATTCCTTGAAAAAACTTATCAAAATAAAACAGAAGTCAATATTTTCCTTTCTTTTTGATAAAAAATCCAGAATGTTAAGCCTTTCACCATTTCAGTTCTGCTCAAATCTGAATTATATCAAAAATGTAGATTTTTGAATCCTATAAATTTGTTATAAATATTAATCATATTTCTATTAATTTATTCAATAAAAATAAAATTCAGGGTTTTAATTTGTTCTCATTAACCTCCAATAAATCTAATAAATCAAACATATTACATTATAATCATCTTATCTTGCGATGTGTCAAAAAAGTTTGAAGTTGTCTTTGTATGTTCAAATATTACAGCTGTACAACTAAGAAATAATCACACAATTTGAATTTTTTTTCATTGTAATCAGAATGTAATCAGGATTACAAGGTATTTTGAAATGAAATTGATTAAATTAAATTACATGTAATCAGATTTTTTGCTGATTAATGATTACAATGATTACTTGAAAAATTTAATCGATTACAGCTGATTAATGATTACAATTACAAGTACCCCAAGTCTGTAACTAAAACACAGGGAAAACCCCAAGTCTAAACGAAAAGAAATTTAATTAAATTCTCCCTCGACATGCTCGTCCGAATTTAAAACATTTCTTTACTAAAATCCTTGGTATAAAAAATAAAACAAAACACTAGGTATAGGTTTAGTTGCTCGCATTAACTTCGACATATCAAAGGATAAATGAGATATGAATTAAATGCCAAGATTCAAAGAAACTGCCATTTGTGATTGAATGTTATCTTTAATGTAACCATCTTTAGATCTATCGGATGCCCAACGACCGTGAGCTTTCAGTAATCTCTCTGAAATACCGAAATTAGCTGCATAAGAAGCTCCACTACTTCTTAAACTATGCAAACCAAATTTGCTCTTATCTAATCCCACAGATTCAAAAGCTACAAGCAAAATTTCTCGTGCCCTCGTATATGAAAGTGGAGAATATTATGCTGTATTCGATTACCTTCGTGCTTGAAAGAAAAATCTGTTGCATCTACTTCAGTAGCTTTCCCCGACTTATCAGTGGCAAAACGGCTCTCAAATGTTAATCACTAGAATTTGAATACTAATTACTAAAAACTAAGTTTAATCAAATGATTAGACATCACGCAATAGCGGATTGATAATTGACTCTTATCTAAACCTTAGACATCACCAAATTTTAGACCATTGGTCATGTAAAATTTTCTAACCCTGAAATTTGACCAAATGTGAAATTTTAAAATTGAAACATGATTTTCATGACAAAGGATAGACGAGACTGTTACCGTAAAAACAACACAAAAATTAAAAAGAACAAAGAACAAAGAACAACACTTATAACTAAAACAAGAACAACATGAACCCCTTTAAAACTTACTAGTAAACAATTTTGATCTGTAACGGTCATTTTGAGCTGAACCGCTCTAATTATAAAAAGACTGAACAATAAATTATTATGTCATTTTCAGTTTTCATTCAATTTTCAGACTACTCTACTGCGGTATATTCAGTAATATTAACACATTTCAATAACAGTCAATTCAGATCTGTTCAGATGTCCAGTAGCTTCTAATTACCGCACAATAACAGCATACTGAATTTCTGAAATGCTACTAAACAGTCCTGAACTTATTTGAATTGACTGTTAGCAAAATGTGTTAACAGTACTAAATTTACCGCATTGGAGTAGTCTGAAATTTGACTGAAAAGCTGAATAGGACTTTTCAGATCCAAATAAGATCAAAATTACCGTTTCAAAACCAAACTCCATTTACTAGTGGATATTTAAAGAGACATTAATTTTTTCAAAAAAATGTTTGTACCAGTCTTTTATATAAGAAACGTGTGTATGTCGTACAAAACTATAAACCTGGTATCTTTTATGAGTTTATTTTGCAACCAGTGGGTCGATGCCACTGCTGGTGGAGGCTTCCTCTCCGATGGTATCGCCAGCTCAGTAGTCAGCACTTCCGTGATGACATAACATAGCACTGATAAAGTAATATCTTAGCTATATTTGGCAAAACCTATCGGAAATTTTATTCCTTAATGCTCTTCAACTTCATAATTTTAACCTTTAAAATTTGGGCGTCACTGATGATTCTTTTGTAGACAAACGCGTGTCTGACGTACAAAACTATAAGCCTGTTATCTTTGGTGAGTTATTTGTATCAGAATAATTGTTTTTAAAATGGCCGTGATGATCACTAATTTTGTGCATATTTATTATTTAAGACAGATAGTATATGTAGTAGTAATTGATTGCCCATCAACATACTTTACAACTTCGTTTACATTTTGAAAGCATGTATTTTTTATTTTTAACACATTCGCCTATGAAGGACCAGTAGTGACAGCTTGTATTTTCATCTTTACAGTTGTTATCACCTAAAACAAATAGAAAGTAATGTAAATGAACGTTTTTATCCCAACTTTCTTAATGTTAATCGTTGTTGTTTTGAATTGGATAAACTTTCTTTAAATATTTTTCAACAAATACACCATGATTGAGGTTTAAGAGTCATGACTCGATCTTAATTATAGTGGTTGTTGTCACTTTAAATACGAAATAGTATAGCACGCAAAATGGCATAATATATACAAGAACGATAAACGTTATACCATGTCATTATATGTTCTTGTTCAGATTTGCTGTTTGTTTTTTAAATTATATAAGAAATTGAAATGAATGTACCATTAACAAAATAAAAATGCTTAATTCATACAGTATTGACATCAATCAAATTACCTCAACAATTGTCAAAGTAATTTGGTTTAAAGCAACTGAATAAACTATCTATACTACTAAAATAACGAGGTCCAATTTGTTAGCCGGCATGACGTAAAAACGACGAATCAAAATATTCAATTTTATATATAACTAATATAGGACAATGGTGTTGATTAAAAATTACACCATTCCAACCCCATTTGTTTTCCACATAATTAATATTACCAATTCTTAACAAGTTCCAGGTCGCATCCGAATCCGATACCGATACCAATAGTTTATGTCACATGTTACCTGTTACCTAATCTATACGTTCCACTTCTGTCAGGCGCACCACCGGACGGTGTTTTTGGGATTTGCTATACCTCCGGGTCATAATTACATCTGAACTTTCTACAGGGTTTGATCCTCTAAATTCAATCATTGTTCAAAGAAATATATCTACAAGTAGTTTCCGGTTGTAGTAATAAAACCAGGACGGATTCAAACAGAGAAATTTGAAAGCAGAGGAAACTGTGCACCTTATCATCAGCATGACTTTATCAAATGACAATACGAATACTAAAAACATCCAGGCTGAAATAATGAGCAGGTACTTTAATTTAGTCACGGACCCGCGATATCGCGGGTGTGTTCTAGTATAAATATAATATACCCAACATCTTATTGTTCCAACATGTATTTTTTATATCTTTTTAAAGAATTTGTACTTTAGGTTGTTCTTCAGAAATGGTGGTACAAAAACTCCTCAAAGATAACATCTTATAATCTGGTACTCCAGTTGCGTGTTTTGTCTTCAATAAATTCATCAGTGGCGCTCGAATCAAAATAGTTGGAGGGTCAAATCAGAAGCGAAGATGACAAGCATTGAATTAAAAAAAATCCGAAAATTTTGCAAAAATACAATTATTTCATTTGAGAACTTATCAATGAAATTTCATGCAACACACAAAATTGGTGCCTACTGGTCTGCTAATACGCTCGGGGGCGAAGATACCACGAGGATAACAACTAGAGGCTCTTAAGAGCCTGTGTCGCTCACCTTGGTCTATATGCATATCAAACAAAGGACACTCTCCAACATTGTAGACGAGAATAGACTTCATGACAAAACTCTCTATTTTGTTGATCTTGTATTACTGATCTTTTAGTCTGTTTAGTTTCTCTCTATCTTCCTTAATGTTTGCTCAAAACACAAAAGAGGGTTAAAAAAAAATCATCATTTAAGGGCAATCACTCCTATGAAGAGTGACAGTCTACTAACTATATCGGCAAAATTTGACTTTTAAATAGATCTTGCCTTGCTGACCATTATTGTCTATTTATTTTTTCTCTATTTATAACGGTTCAATAAATAATAGACACAACTTGCATTTTACCCCTATGTTCTATCTTTAGCCATGTCGGCCATGTTATTTGGTAGGCGGGGTCATCGGACACATTTTTTAAACTAGATACTCTAATCATGATTGAGTTAAAGTTTGGTTAAATGTGTCTCAGTAGTTTCAGAGGAGAAGATTTTTGTAAAAGATTACAAAAAATTACAAAAAATTGTTAAAAATAGACTATAAAGGGCAATATCTCCTGAAGGGGTCGACTGACCAGTGTGGTCATTTTGACTTATTTGTAGATCTTACTTTGATGAACATAATTGCTGTTTACAGTTTATCTCTATCTATAATAATATTCAAGATAATAACCAAAAACTGCAAAATTTCCTTAATAGTACCGATTTAGGGGCGGCAACTCAACTACAGGTTGTCTGATTTGTCTGAAAATTTTAGAACAGATAGATCTTAACCTGATGGATATTTTGACTCTATCAGATTTACTTTTTATGCTTTAGTTTCAGAAATATAAGCAAAACACTGCATTTTACCCCTATGTTCTATTTTTAGCCATGGCGGCTATGTTGGGTTAGTAAGCGGGGTCGTCGGACACATTTTTTTAACTAGATACCCAAATTATGATTGTAGCCAAGTTTGGTTAAATTTGGCCCAGTAGTTTCAGAGGAGAAGATTTTTATAAAAGTTAACGGACGACGACGACGTAGGGCCAGGTGAGCTAAAAACTATATCAAAATAGCAAATAGATAACAGGCATACAACAGTCCCCAAACTACAAAGTACACTTAGTGTTAATCAAACCATACAAAAACGATGGGCCAATCTCAGGCCAGACTCGGCTGTAAAATAGTTTCTGTTACTTTAGTTGCATCGCTTATGTAGCTCATAAAAGGTCAACTTATATGATAAGTCACACTGATGATGTGATAAACGAGGAAAACAAAACGAGATTGTGGCAAATAGTTCATATATGAATCCATCTGAATCTGTGACGCAGATATTCCATAACATTTTAATGTTGCTATCATTTAAAACTTTCGAAGAGATGACTTCAACTCTGTCAATGAGAACTACTTTTAACTCAATAGTTGCTGTAATCAACAACCCTCCATATAATTTTAAATAGGAAACGAAACACCTGGAATATCTTTGAGAGTATACCTTTACTCCATATACAGGTGTTGCTTGCATGTTGCTAATAAAAAAAAAATGGTTGATTCATTATTTTGTTAAACAAATATCATAAATTTACCAAAAAAATATAATTACCGTTCCTCATTGGACTTTCACAAGCATCACAACTAAGCTTGCAATAATCAAACATATAAGTTGATTGTGTATTGCATCTACCAGTTGACGCCCAAACAGAACATTGTTCATGCCAATCTTTGCATTCTGCAGAATACAACAATATCGTATCACAAGTAATGATATGATGACATGCAGCAAACAAGTTTCTGGCAGATCCTTCATCGGGTACGCTCGAAACAAACAATAGTACAATGTGCTTGAGTTTAAAAAACCAAATGAATCTAAATAAAACATCAATCACTAGATTACAATGCCTGGGGGACAATTCACATTTTTATTAACTGGCGATTTGTATCAAACAAAATGTATCATTTAAAAACTGCATTTACCGTAGAACTTGTAATAAGGCGGATTGTGCATTTTTATACCAAGAGCGGTACTTATCAAGTGGTAGTCTAGGGAAGTTAAAAAATTAACAAATGTCATGTGCATCCACATCATGAGGTAACATTTTGAATCCAAATTTTATAATACTGCGGTATTTAATTTAAGCAGTTTATGCAATTACACTGAAAGTCAAATATCATCTTGATTTCCTTGTCGCCACTGTTGCAATTATTTGTACTGTAAACTCAAGAAAGACAGATTAATTACAATTTTGTTTTTATTCTGATACCTTTGATAATTGCATCACCGCAAGCATTACAGCTTTTCTTACAGTTGTACAGCATATATTCTGGGTTCAGCCTACATTCATCTTGCAAAGCCCACATTGAACATTCTTGTTTATTGTCTGTGCAAACTTAAATAAAAACAATTTAGTACAAAAATGTCAATTGTATTTCGTGTCTAATTTTGAAACATGTATTGTCAAAATATTTATCGCTGCCTTGGAATACCTTTATATTCATTGACAAAATACGGCTTTGCAATTCGGACATGTTCTGTGTTATTCGGCTCTCTGAAATTGAAGTTGATGATGTGCATGCTATCCCACGTAAAAATACTTTTTTATAATAACGTTCACAGTCTATATAAAATGATGTTTCTGGCATTATAGGAAGAAAAAAAAAACATCTCAACATAAGATTTTCTTTTCGAATGATTATCCGAGGGACTAACAGGTTCAGGGTACATCGAAACAGGGCTTTCACATTTAAAACAAGAAAAAGAGAGATACGAGTATCAGAAGTTAAAGAACTAGTGTTTACCTGTCACAGCAATAGTGGTTGTGTCGTTGTTTTGATATTCATCCCCTGCTGTTTCTTTTTCTAATTGTGTTGATGTTGTTGCATCGGTTAAGTTTACATCGGTTTCATTGTCCGCAATGGTTACTCCCTCTTTTGCTCCTTTTGTTGTTTGGTGTGTATTAATTTCGCCTTTTTTCTTTTCTGTTGCATCGTCATTGATAACAACAGTTTTTTCATTGCTGATGCCTATATATATATTTTTTCAAACAGTAAGGAGAGAGATTAACAAACTATTTGACAGGGGTCTTTAACCTTCGGATTTGATGATTGTTTGTGTCATTGTCCGTAGTAAATGTCTTATTGCTTTTCATCTTCACTATTTGTGTATTGTCCAAAGATGGCTATTTGTTCAAATGATTTTTAAATTATTCACAGCTGTCATTCGGTATATCGAGAAAAATGATCGTGAAAGAATAAGTAAAGGTAATCAAGTATTGAGATTGGATCGTGAAAGACCTGGTATAGGATCGTGAAGGAATAATAAAACTGTCTGTCAAAATGATTCAACATTATGATCAGTATCTGAGAAAAATCAAGTTTCAAAAGTACACAGTTTTTACAAAACTACAAAAGGCAAATTGCTCATCGACATTTTAATGACAAAAAAAAATGTAAACAAACAAAATTTTTTTCATATTTTGAATGCATAAACTACTTTTCTTTAAAAAATATCGTTCAATATTACTGTTTTAAATGGTTCTAAACGTTATTTCAGAAACTTTGAAAAAATTGGAAATTTTTGTAAAAATGTGATATTTAGGATCGTGAAAGATCGGGCACCGCTTTGTGATGATCGTGAACGATCTGTTGCCACTCATTCGTTATAACAAAATTCCACAAGAACGATCAAATCATTCTTTAAAGGGGTGACATGATAATTGTTATTTGTAATTGGTATAGAAAAAGATTTGATTTGCATGACACTTTTGTTTGTGAATAGGGCTTTGATGTTTCAATGCCATTGGATCAGATTATTTGATAATACATGTACCACACCGACTAGTTGCCTTATAATAATATAATTCCGTCTATCCGTCCTGTATGAGTTTATGTCATTTGAAAAGTTCAGATTGTCTCATTAGATTTCCATTAATTTTTAAGCACAGTCATATCTATAAAACAAAGATCCTTGTTGATTCAGTTTGTAAAAATTAGAAAAAAAACATTGTTTAAAAAAAACCGCAGGAAAATAACAGTCATATTCTTTACTTGGAGTAGGCTTTTTCCTAAGAAAATGGTGGATTAAACCAAGTTTTCTAGCAAGCTAAATCGCCCACTTGAATGAATTTCTTTTTATGTTCCGTAATATTGCCAAATTGGATGAGCAACCCAAACAGACATAAATGCCATTACTGGGATCCAGCAGCCAAAACTATATAAACATACATCACAGACACACAACACAACTGAATAAAACGTTCAAACACACTTACAATTTATTCCAACAAAGACGCCAACAAAAATAACATTTGTATCAAATAATGCGGTCAGCATAGTCAAGCATAATGACATACACTTTCCCAATAAAATATAAAATAAGTAAAATATAAATACAAGGGTACTATATACAAAATGAAAACAACACTACAAAATCCTCACATGCCGAATCGCATCTCTGGACTCACTCGCATAAGGGACGCTAAAAGCTAAAAAACCTGAAAGCTGGATGCACATATACCGAACCAAGTCAAGAGTCATACGACCGAATGGAACATACTATTACAAAGACATATGAAGTTAAAACTGTAAAGTAGATAAAATTCTACACAGAGTCAGCAGCACCTTGAATCTATAACTCAAGACCATCCTGTATTATTTGTGATGTATACACAGAGTATTTATCTATCAGGGATTGGTACTTTCCAATAAACCTTTTGAAAAAAAGGACGAGGCATTCTTTCACACAAAAACTGGCTCATTGATTCTGATGATGTTTTACAAATTCTGAGAAGCAGCTGCACGCTCCTGAATATCGTATGAATTGAGAAATGTATAATCCATACGCTGATGAAGTTGTTAAATTGCTGCCAAGGTGAGGACAAATCTCGTTTGTCATAGATTCAGGTGACCGCTGTAGTCACATTTGGGGTATATTTATTTATGTCTAAATATGAGGCTTAGAAAGCTGTACATGTGTTGTCTGTAATCTCTAGTTCAGGACATTTACTGGGACCCATTCAGAAAAGCTTGTATTGTTTAAAATGGAAAGAACATCTTCATTATACCTGTATGTAAAATTAAATGATATAGCTTCTTTGATCTAACCCTTACCAAAACAAAAACATACATATTACGATATTTCTATGGGAAGACCACCAGACGCCCTCTGGCTTCACACATTCGTGGATGCATTTAGCGTTATAAATACAAAGATATTTACTTTTCGACAATTTGAGCTCTTGGAGGTCTTATTATCTTGGACTACTAGTTAGCTCTGCCTCTTAAAATAAAAACATGTCTAAATATGGGTCTATATATATACATGTATATATATTTCACAAAAAAAGCTTTAATTTACGTTCTTAGTAAGTGATTACACGCTTCAGCCAATTACAAGTTTACCAATTTGTAATAACAATGATGTTTTTTTTTATCATAAAGTCTGGTCACGCCTTGTCTTTCACGATCTAAATAAGGTTCCACCTTTTAAAAATACAGCAGATTTTTCACAGATTTTGAAGTAGAATTACACTTAATTGCATTCACGGTCCGATAACAGATCTTTCACGATCAAATCGCAATGCTAGACCACCAATAGTTATTCTTTCACGATCATTTTTCTCGATATACCGAATGACACCCGTGTTATTGTTCCGTTGTTTGCGTGCGGGCACCTTTAAATCGTCGGAAATAAAAGTAAAATATGCGGACATGAACTTATTCCGGCAACTACGAGCAGATGAATTCAAGTTATCTCGCTTTGAACTGACTTGCATCGTACTCTTCGCGACATATACAACAAGGGGATATTCAATCTAAACCTGCGTCACATTGTTTTTATTCGTATGACTAATTTATTTTGAAAGAAAAATTTGGCCCAAAGAGCCAGCTAATGAACCTTCTTCTTTTGTGCTATGCCTTCTCTGTTTATGTGAATTAACGATAATTAATAAATGTACATCATCATTCATGTCACTGCGTGCAACACAGTCACGTTTCGATGATACTTGTATCAGGTACGCTAAATAAAAAGTGTAAGAAGCGCTTTGTCGATATAAAACAAACTCAAGTTTTCACATTTTGCATATAATTTAGATAGATAATTTAACCATCTTATAGTGACTATATTGAATTTTCTGCATGTACATTACTTTATAATCATGATCCACTATATGAAATTTTTACAGGCTCAGTACAACAAAGCAAATGAACCACTGTTTTTGTTTGTTTATTGGCTGGTTGTAGTGATTGCATTTTAATATCCTTGACTTGAAAATATCTATCGTGTACATTAATTTAAGCGAGGCAGTAATATCCATGTTGCAGTAAACATTAAACCATATACCTAGATCTTTGCTGTCACATACTTTGCAGCTTTTCTGGCAATTAAATAACATGTACTTTGGGTTTTTGTGACATTCACCATTTGAAGACCATTTCGGACATTTCTTGTTCTTGTCCAGACAATCTAAAAAATAGTTATAAAAATGTAGCTCATGTCAGTTTTAATACACGTACATGTATAATTATGATATTATTTAATAAGGAAATTAGAGATGGATGACGAACAAAATGTGTATCGTGCAACTATCGTTTTAAATGTGTTTAACAAATATGGAGATCTGACAATAACAGGACTATTAAATATCCCAATTTGGGTTCATTTTCAATTCGTAGCAGTCATGTGCAACACACACAATTTTTTCAGGAGCTACCGCTTATTTACCGTTTTAACGGGAAAATTTAGGAATAATTAAGCACTCAGATAATCCCACATATAAACAAACATATCATTTGACAAGGATGAGATCTTGGTGAATCATAAATCCCGTACAAGCAATGGTAAATTGCCGGCTCATCTGCATGTTCTACAAAGGAATTGTCCATTAGATTGACAAAAAGTATGTCCGTTGTGAAAAGAAGGTCTTCAGAAGTACTGTGAAACTGTTGTGTATTACGCGTAGTGGTATTTACCATATGCTGATTCTAAAATGATCTAAAGAACTTCTGGATAATTTTAAATCTCGACCTTTTTCTGAAATTAATTATATCAAAACCTTTGATTTTTTAATCCCTTATATTACGATTCCCAAGATGAAATTGAAAAATCGTCCAAAAGAAATAATCCACAATGTTTTTCAATGTAAAAATGGTAGCATACGCTATAAATTTATTGCTTTGGGATACCATACGCCATATGTTATTAATAGTGAACAAAAAGGTGAAACATGATACACTGAGGAACAACTGATCATAATACTGGATTTTCTTAGTCACAACATCATTTTTGAATTTTGAGGTAGAATTTTTCAATACATTGTCGGCATCCCTATGGGAACGAACTGTGCGCCTCTCCTTGCTAACCTCTTTTTTTTTCATGAGTCAGAGTTCCTTCACACTTGTCAAAAACAAGAAGCCAGATCATTCAATTTCACATCCAGATGTATTGATGATATTCTTTTTCATTAACAATCCAAACTTTTCTGGTTGGGTTCCATTAATATATCATCCAGAACTAGAAATTAAAGAAACAACAGACACGGCTTCCTCCGTCTCATTTTTAGACTTATACCTCGAATTTAACATAAGCAGTCATCTATGACCAGAATCTATGACAAACGAGACGAATTTAATTTTGAAATTTCCCCCACCTTAGCAGTAATATTCCAACTTCAACTGCATTTCCGAACTCATTCGGTATTCAAGAGCTTGTAGCTGTTACTCAGACTCCATAAAAAGTCGCCAGTGCCTGAGCAGAAAGTTGATGAACCAGGGTTATGTCAAAGAACGTCTCGTCCTTTTTCTAAAAACGTTCATCGGAAGATATCAAGACCTTGTTGATAAATATTCTGTATCAACTTTACAAATAATACATGATGGTCTTGAAGTATAGATTTAAGTACTGACGTTGTGTATCATCTTAATCTCGTGTTATAGTTTTCTTTTAATTTGTCTTTATATATTTTTAAACTTTACAGTTAGGTCATTTTTGGTAATATACTTTTGGCGTGGCTCGGTTTTTATACATCTCGCCATTGTGTTATTGTGCTATGGTCATATTTTGTATTCTTGTCCTTCATTTTTGCTTATGAGCTCTGTCTATAGTGTCTTTATGCCATTTGTTTTTCTTTGTTGGCATAGTTATTGTTTTTATATTATAGTGATTAAGATTATAACACGATGTTGACTGCTGTACCCCAATTTTTGACCTTTTTTCCTATTATGTCTGTTTGTTTTGCTTACACATTGTTGACAATATAATGGAATTGTATGCGACTGTCATACAAGTGAGAGGTTTAGCTAGCTTTAAACCCAGGTTTAATCCACCATTTTCTACGGAAGAAAATGACTGTACCAAGTCAGAATTATGACAGTTGTTTTCCATTCGTTTGATGTGTTTGAGCTTTTGATTTTGGCATTTGATAAGGGACTTTCCGTTTTGAATTTTCCTTGGAGTTCGGTATTTTTATTATTTAACTTTTTCGCTAAAAAGAATTAAGTCTGACGTATTTGGTCTTTAAAGCATACATTTTATTAAACCCAATGTAAACAAAACGTATTGTATCGATATCCATGCGCATGACACATTTGCTGAAACAATCTGAAGATGCACTCTTTCTTCGACAGCTATTATGACTTCATTGACAAGTTTTGTACATTAAACTTTGTAAAACAAATCATAAATCATGTATATCTGAACGCAATTATCAATATTTTGATTGTCCTGAACCAACATGTAACATTTCCGGCTTAAGTAAACAACCATCAATCAAACAATCAATACTTTTCTAAATTTTGTGTTTATAATTCTATATCATATTTACCTGTAAAGGAACCACTGCAAACTTGGCAACTTTTTTGACAATTGAAAACCATATAACCTTGATCCTTCGAACATTCCCCCTTAAATGCCCATATCACACACATTTTGTCATTATCTTTGCAATCTGTTTTTTAAAATATTTTTTAATTATGCATGTACATTTACCTGCGATCATTTGTACACCGCGAATATAATAAAGATGCCATGGTTATAAAAGATATAGGGCATACATTAATGAAACCGAACGAAAAAATTAACCCAAAGCACACCTAGAGAGCAACATACATAGTCTTCTGTCTCTGATGCATGTATTTTTATTGTTAATTGTTTTTGGCTTTTATCTAGCTTTCAGTAACTGCGAGTACTCTCAAATCGTACTTTTGTGTTAATTTGACCTGTTGACACAATTTGTAATGCATTTCTGTAATTCAATGTTTACTTATTTTGTGTTATATCTCGTCTCACTATTTTTAATATGTACCACCTTTGATAAGAATTAAGTATGACGATAAATTTTCACTTCTGTACTCGTACTCTGAACAACAAATTTATTTATTTGTTAAAAATGCTTACTTTCTTACTCCAAACAAAAAAATTATTATATTTAAATTTACCTGTGTACGGTGTTTTATTTAATGCCATTTTGTCCCAGGTTAGAGCTGTCTTTTTGACACTATTCCTACATTTTTTTTAAAAATTTTTTTTTTATTACTACCTACGTTTTAATATTGTATTTATATTGTGTCATAGATCAAACTTATTCGTTCAGTGTATGTTTACTTGTTTTTGTTTAAATGTCTTTTGACCGAGTTAAGCCATTTCAATTGATATCTAATAGCGTGTCTTTTTATGTTGTAATGTTACACTACCGTCTCAGGTTAGGGTGAACGTTGGCGCATGTTAAAACGTTTAAACCACGCTGCATTTTTATGCACCTGTCCTAAGTCAGGAGCCTGTTGTTCAGTGGTTGTCGTTTGTTGGTGTGGTTCATAGGTGTTTCTCTTTTCTCGTTTATTATACAGATTAGACCGTTGGATTTCCTGTTTGAATTGTTTTACACTAGTCATTTTGGGGCCCTTTATAGCTTGCTGTTCGGTGTGAGCCAAGGCTCCGTGTTGAAGGCCGTACTTTGACCTATAATTGTCAACTTTTTATACATTTTGACTTGGATGGAGAGTTGTCTAATTGACACTCATACCGCATCTTTTTATTTATATTCAACAATAGGCAGCTGAACGGTTGGCAATATGTCAATCTCTAAATCGTCCCTCATCTTTACAACTTGCGTACAAATTTAAGAGAAACTATAATAAATATCCTATTACCATTTTATAATGATCAAATAACAAAATATAGAATAACTAAAATATCGAACTCCAAAGAAAATTCAAAACCGAAAGTCCCTTATGAAATGCCAAAACCAAAAGCTCAAACACAACAAACGAAAGGAAAACAACTGTCATAATTCTGCTATGGTACAGGCATTTTCTTCCGTAGAAAATTATGGATAAGCCTGGTTTAAAGCTAAGTAAACCTCTCACTTGTATGATAGTCGCATAGAATTCCATTATATTGACAACAATGTGTGAGCAAAACAAACAGACATAATAGGTAAAAATTTCAAAAATTGGGGTACAGCAGTCAACATTGTGTTATAATCTATTTATTTTAACACTCTGTAGACAAAGGGCATAAGCAAAAATGAAAGAAAAGAATACAAAAAAATGACCATAGCACAATAACACAATGGCGGGATGTATAAAAACCCGATCCTCGCCAAAAGGATATTACCAAAAATGGACTAAACAGTAAAGGTTAGAAATATACAAAGACGAATTAAAAGAACACTATAACACCTAATTAAGATGATAAAACAACGTCAGTACCTAGCATCCATACTTCAAGAACATCATGTATCATTTGTTAAGTTGATACGGAATATTTATCAACAAGGTCTTGGTATCTTCCGATGACCTTTTTTTTTAGAAAAAGGACGAGACATGATGATATGACATGAAACAACGAGGTTCACGAATTGGGAGAACATGACCATGTGTCGGAATTAACTGGATTTTGAAATATCAGGCATTAACTAAACAGATGTAATGAATACTATCTAAAGCATATAGTAAAATTGACAAAAATGTTCAATATTTAGATTCCTATTTTAGAATGTTTTAATTACTTTTTGGTATGATACAATAAAAAAATCTTATTCTTTTTCCTGTTATTTTACAAATATTTAAAATACAGCTTTATGAATTTATGATAAAGTATGACGTTAATTAATAAGAAACCGATGTTCATTTAAACCAGGTATTGATATACTACTCAACTCAAACGTTATAACAGAGAAAATAATTTTCGATAAATACTGGTGAGTTGTATATCAATTACTGGTTTGAATGTCAATAATTTGACAATAGCAAAAAAGGAAATGAAAACTATCCCATCTAGAACTACATTAACTTCAAACAAAGTGAGATTCGGTATGTTGATATGGTAAACACCTCCTACTCTGTATGAATCATCCGTCTGACGATTACATAGTCACAGATGGTTACAGTACGTGGTCAGATTGGTAGCTTTAACAGATTGATAAATGCGTTTCATAGTTAGAGAATAGTCATTTACACTCATTTATTTCAAACGGTCAGTTACAGTGATTAGTAAGTAGCGAAAAAAACTAAGAAAATTATACAGGTTGGCTCTCGAAAGACAATTAATATGTATAGCTACCATTTTAGTTTCAAATTGACTTACTGGTGTCAGTGAGGATGGTTTGACAAACTGTTAAACAGTCGGGCTTTTAAAATTCTGACAGTAGCTATCACTTTGGTTTAACGTAAGTCAACTTTAAGGTGACATTTCGTTACATTGTAGTTGTTCATAAATATTCAGATATACTGCATATATATATCTTGAAAAGTCCCGTGAAGAATAAAGAAAACATTAGAACAATGATACTTATATTTTATTTTCTATTTACCTGATTTTTGTGTTTTTTATGAATATACGAATCGGTGTGCGACTTGATTTAACATTTTATCAATATATCCCTCGTCTCAAATTCAACCCAACAATGTTAGAACTGCATATATGCGTTAGCAAATTTTTGTCCTTCCCTCAGCGGGATTCGAAACCCTGCATCTGAGACCTCGATATATATTATCTGTTATAATGTTTGAGTTGAGTTGTATATCAATACTTTCTAAATAATATAAATTAATTGATAAAGAAAACTTAACTCCAATACAGCTGATGCGATCTCCTAACCCCAATTTATTATCCTCATAATCTACATCTGACATGCTGCTGTCTTTGGAAATAACTTCATTTGAGCTCTCTTTACAATTCATCTTTAGCTCCTGTTCCAGCTCTTTACCTAAATTTACACTTTTTGGTGAAATGCAGACATAATCAACATTTTTTTTTACAGAATACAAACTTTCAATGAATATTCGAATGAATAATGTAACATCTGTCATTTTTATCAGCACGTGTTGGTCTACGTAATAATATCATTCCTTTACCTTAGACAAATGCATGAAAAGTTGAAGCTTGACAGATTCGTGTTTTTTCCACAAAATTATTATTTCAGCTCAGTATATAAATTGTACATGCATTCGATTTGGGTAATATTGTATTTCGTGTGCGAGATACTTTTGCGTAAAACAATACTAAAGACGCAACAAAACTGATAACATCTAGAGGTTAAAGGGGCAGTAGCTGTCAAATTCATGTTCACCGATTTGACTCAAATTCTCATATTCGATTTATAACATACAAAAAGGTATATCCAAATTATAATAAGTCTGAAATAAACAATTAACAATGCATGAACTCGATAATATAAATCAGCATGTCATGTGTATTTTAGTCTAGACGCCATCGAAATAACCATCGACATGACCTCCGAAGACTACCGACGGTCACATAACGCGATTTAAACATAAATATAAATAGATAGCGACCACGTGTAAATTGATTTTTCTCTAGGTCTGCTTAATTTCATATTATAGCTTAAAAAAATAAGTTAATCATCGTTTTTACCTGTATAAGAATGATTTTTTGTGGATCGGATCTGTCAACGAAATGGTTTACCTTTGTTTCAATTTCAATGTTGATATTCATTTACTTTTAATGGCTGAACACGCCTAATACATGCGTGATCAATCTGTAGCTAATGGGTTAAATTGACGGTCACATGAAAAAGGATTCAATGAGGTCGAATTATTCACTTCCAAGTGAATTTCATCAGCGATGTTTCTTAGCTTATTTTGACAAAATTGAACTAAACTGGCTGCTAAAAGCGAATTATTATTTCACTATTTCACTTTCATTAATGATTGAACAAAAAATATCATATTTCATTTCATATCTCGTATCTAATGCCCCTTTTTAAACACAAGGTTAACAATTTAATCATAAAATCAAGAAGATTAATATTAGGATGTTTTTTTTTTGTTTTTTTTTTTTTGTGTCCTTGTGTTGCTGTCTTATTGACGTGTACCCCCACAATCCCCTTTTTATACATTGTATAGTTCTATTTATTGCCCGCAATCTCTTTTTTATTAATTTTATAGTTCTATTAAACTGTTTGCAAGAAAGAAAAACATTAAAGGAGGTTAAGAGTTTTGTATGAGTAAAATGTCATGTAATCATATGTCCGTATATAAACCTACTCCCCCCTTTGCCTATCTACACCAGATACAGTAAGGTATACTTAAAAGCTGATCTTAAATGCAAAAATTGACCTTACATAATCAAATAAACTATAAGATTGGAAATTTATAATTTGTACTTCTTTATCAGTTGTGAAAAACATACCTCTAGTTGATTCACATCGTTTGAGAAACGTGTTTTTACATGGAAACACTTCATGAATTAAATCATATAAAGCGGGATCATATTCTTGCAGTCTTTTTCGATTGCTTATAGGGCCATGAACTCCGTCAGTTTTATCCAAATGAGTATTGACATTGAAGTAACTTTGTACTCCTTCAGCCTATCAAAAAAAAACTTATAATCTTAATTAAACAAAACGTTTTATGCAAGAAATAAACTTCAATGATAAAACGTACATAAAAAGCAAATTATTAGTAATGAATATACAACTATTTGCAGGTAAGGTAACATGCAACGTCTATTGCAAACAAGATACAATTGTCAAAATTTCTCAAAATTGAAACCAGTCAATGTTTATATTTAAATTGTTTGCGTCAAAACGTTTTTATCAATGACACGTATTTGATCAAGTGTTAGAGAACTCTCCTATAAAAAAGACGTTTGTACAATATTTTCCGTTGAAGGAATTTGATTGAAAAACACCAGACATAAATCTCAGAGAATAACTATAAGCAAATATGTACACTTGATGAAATACATAGACGCCGTCGTTTAGAAATAGAAGAACACATTTTTTTAAAGTCCATTTGTTTCACGAAATGGCAAACTGGAAGAAAACTGACTTGTCTCCTTATTTATATTATAACAGAGCACAACAACGTCGTATACAGATACAGACAACCTTTTCGTGGGTAAGTACAGTAATAGGAGAAAACTTTTTCCATCTGAACATTGTAATGTATGTACTCAAAGAGTAACACAACGGTTAAAAACATTTTGATGTGACGTTATTCAGTGAAAGGAAAGTATCTACACATGTACCATATATAAAGCTCTAGAAGAGGACCAGATTCTAAGCAAGTAAATCTGAACAAACCTATTCGACCTGACACCACATTCCACAAAGTACAAATAACAATACGATATAGACAAATGGAGCTTCTATTGAGGTGCATTAACCAAAAGGAAATCTGCTTATATAAATATACATCAAAGCAGATTTGATTCAGGATCATCATAAACAGTGTTGATAAATATGGGATGGTGCAACGAACGAACAAAACAGGGGATAAGATACCAAAGGCACATAAAAATACAAGTCAAATAACCAAATAACCGAAAAGGATATCAATGTTACCCTCCACCCCACCACACACCCCCTCCCCCCCCCCCCCCCCCCCCTCCCCACCCACCCACCTCCTTTTTTGTACCGGCTATTTCAAGCACTGGACTATAATAGGATAGGACATATCTTATTGATCCAGTGATTAAATTCAATATATGTCCTCTTAAAAAATAGTAATCGCAGCTTTGCCATTGTAGCGAATCGTGTCATCGAAAATTTGATAATAGAAATACTAACTATTAAATCAGATTATCATAATTGTATCGTTTCAACAAAAAAAGAAAAATTGCTTACAAAATATTCAGCCGATGAATTCATTGCGTATGTGTTGTTCCAAAGACCAGTTCTCTGTGCATTTTCAAACTGATTGATAAGTTTTGTATTCCAACCAGCAATAGCGTATTTTGCACCCAGAAGATGAGCTCCATGAGCAACTTCATGGACAAATATATCTTCAAGAAAATATCTGTCCTTGCAAAAACATGAAGCATTTTCTTCTCCAGCAGTACAAACTGGTGCATAATCAGTTGCTCCTAGACCACGTGTTCTCTCATTCATTCTTTTCGGAAGCCATCGGTGTTCTGGAATATCCGTCGTCTCCTCTGAAGCACCAATCACTGCCACTCGTCCATAACGTTTGAAGTACGACGTTCGAACATCTTTGTTATCAGCAAACATAAATCTGACCACATAGCAAGCTCGTCTCAAAGCATTATCTGACACTTGATCTGATGCTTCAATGGAATAGATTAGTATTGATTGATGAGACATTGTGGACGTTGATCTTTAGCTATAGTACTATAATGGCACTAAAAAAAATCTACTTCTAAATTATATGACTAAAAGCATTATATGAAGAAATGATGGCTAACTTATACCATGACATTCCTGATACAGAATCGCACCAAAACAGGTACAGGTTACAGAGAGAATTGAAAAAGAGACATTTCCCTTTAGACTGATTATTCCATTTAACATGTTCGATAAATTCAAAAAATTTTAACAATCAACATAACCAGTTCTTCTTTTGGATCTTTAAGTGTTACTACTCCAACTGATATTCTTACCAATATCTGAACTTGCTGAGCATATGCGAAATAATATTTAACTGTGGCAACATTAAAGGTTGCAAAAGAGATTTTTTTTTGTATCTTTTAAGTCAACAACGTATAAGCGAGGTTTTGGAAATTATTTTTACAAAATTGAACAAAAATTCTGTTCTTGTAAATGTTATAGAACATACAATTGTACAAACTAAAAAATTAAATCTGCATCATTCCCTTTATTTCTTTCGTACAAACCCCTGTTACTAAAAAAACATTTCGAGAAATTTAAAATGGCAAGGTCTTTATTATGGCTTAATTTTTCACGAAACTGTCAAAATGAACAAGCCTTATCGGTGTCTTCCTCCTATTCCCACTTTTTAAAAATCACTATTCCTTCTATTCCCACATGCAAATAACAATAGATGTTTTGATAAATAATTTGTTTTTATTACAATCAAGGTTAATTAAAAATTCACCTAAGATTTACCTGTATTTTTTAAAAGAAAACATATTTCTTACACTGTTTAAGTATAATATTATTTAAAAAAAAATAATAAAGTAATATACTTTTTATTTGTAATACTTAAGAACAAAGAATAAGTCAGATAAATAGAAGTAAGATTAAATAATCATTGAATTTGTAAATTTAAAAAATTGTCATCCGAACAAATAAATTGATGATAGATAATTTTATAACAAACTTTCCCATCTTGCAAGATTTCCATGTACAACAAACGCAAGAAGAACCTAATAGTTTTACCAAAATCTGTTGATGAATTCAACATAGATGGTATTTGGGCACGTACTACCAAAGGTGACCCATTCCTGCTAACAGACGACAACACAGTTTGGCGTATGTTAATCTTCAGTACTCAAAATAATCTAACACACTTAGCCTTATCAAAACACCACTGCACACACGCACACTTATTTATCTTATTTCTTTCTGTTTAATTAATTCTCGATATTTAAGGCTCAGGGCAATTTAGAACTTGACATGTTGTATAGATACCGGACATTTGTCAAAGTATGTATATAAACCTCTAAATGTGTTTGTTATTTATGTTGTTGGTTTGATGTCTAATTGACTTTTACCCCACATCTCCTATTGTATATACTAACAATCCTTACACCGAGAATAAAAACCCATACAAACCGAACAAAACTTTGATTCATCAGAAATAGTACTTATTTATACAAAATATGTACACTGCAATTTTTGATGTTAATATGTTTTCGATCAGTTTTATAACGTGTAAACATTTGAAATAATAAATAGTAATTTTCAAAACATGTACATCTATGTCATAATTTGTTTTTATTGTCTGACACATTCAGAAGCAGGTTTAAGTATAATAAGTTTATACCTATAACAGGAATACCATAAGCTTCCGTATATTTCTGATAGAATTTATCAAGACCATTTGGTTTCATAATTTTTTTGTTGCTTAAATCTTCCGGGACACCCCTAACATGACAACAGCTATGTGAAGACGATGGTTCCCCTGGTCGCAGGTTAAACGCTGAACGAACTTTTCTAGTATTAAACTCTGAAATTGAAATAAATGACATTCATTGTAATAACTGAAATGACGATATTAATATCCAGTGTATAAAGTGGATTGACAAATCAAGAAAAGTCGCTTATTTAAAGAGTTTAATGGACCGAAATACCTCATGGATGAAAAGTCACATGAAGATAGAGTAAACATTATACTTTCATTTTAGCCCTGTCGTAGAGTTTTCCCACGGTGCAGTTTTTTGTAAAATCGCGACAAAGTGTGACTTTCCAATTTTTTTCTTTTTCATTTTCAAACATGGGAACGCTTACAATAAATTCCCGAATGAATAAACAGTTGTCTATAAGCTTTTATTCAACATCAAACTTTAATATCACATGAACATATGAATTGAGTGAATTAGACGATTTTCAAATGTATGTGACATTTTTTTCAATCTTACCGTCTGTCAAAGTATATTACTTTTCTTATATATATCACCAGTAGTCAATTTGCCCAAACAATAGTGGCACAACTAATATGCAAGTAGTTGTAATATATAAAAGTTTGAAAAAGCATTCAAATTAACTTTGACGGGCCTTTTTATAATACTCATCATATAGCAGTTTTACTATTAAATTTTCACCCCAATAAGTCGTGTTGCGCTCCTTTTTCCTATTTTCCCTTGACTTATGATTTGCTGTGTTTTTACAAAAAATTAAACTGTGTATTTTCTTTATTTTCGTATATAAGAATATAGATTTATATCAATGTTTGTGTCGAGATTTTTGACTTAGTACAGATTTATGTTTTAGTAACTTTTGAGGTGTTTTATTTACTTGTTGAGTTTTTCGAATAGACTAACTTTAGACCACATTGGTACAATGCGTTATTTGCCAATTTTCTGCAAACGAATACAACAGAAAAAGGGTAAAATACTCTTTTAGATGCAATAGATGTGAGACAGGGTACTGTTTATCGCCGCCTTTATGATGAATTTGATTCAACCAAAATGATTCCATTAGAACAAATAAAGTATCATAGGTCGTGTTATAAAGCATATCCAGGTAGAAAAAAAATTGGAAACATTTAAGTTCTCATTAACGAGTGCAAAACATTCCGTGTATGAATCAACAATGATCAAATTGCGTTAATACACGCTCTATGGCATTACCATTAGACTGGTCTAAATGTTTATTCTATAGACAAAAGTCATACAAGCGAGATAAGCAATTAAAGCGAGTCTATTGAATGTGCCGATAATATCTTAAATGTCGCAAATGACAAGCCTAACTATCCAATGGTAAGTTAACTCTCTATAAATAACTTCAATGACAAGCGCGGCACTGTATCATTCATCATGCATTGCTAACTACATGCTGAACTGGAAAAGGGAACTTGATTATGATGCTTCAAATTAGTCGGAGCATGACGCTACTTTCCAAAACCTAACACAATGATCTGTTTGTGAAAAAGAAAGCATTTTCGTTGTCGCATTTACTAGATACATATTGTTTCTTTCTTCCACAAGAAATGAGAAGTAAATATACAACTGCTAAACTGCAACACAAACCAGAAAATCACTACGGTGGTAACATTGTTGGTCAGACTCAAAGAGGACAGGGTAGATCCAATATGATTTTCAGTAGCTCAATTAGTGTTTCTGAGGCTTTCTCGCAGCCAGTTGTTTAAAAGCGGAATTAAAGTTTTCAGAGATGGAAACAAGTTTTGTAAATGATTCCATACATCAGGAAGATCAGACCCTTCATGATGAGTCAAAAATTTTGAGAAGCAGTTTACGATCGCTCAAAATTTCAAATATCCATCTCCTTCAGAAGTTTCTATCCCTACAGCTTTAAAATTTATACCTTCCTCTTTGATAAATTTTCTTGACAGGTTAATAGATGACAATTGTTTTCATATGAAGAATGATTACAATTCACTCCCATGTGCTACTGTACGGAAATGTATTGCTTTAAGCTGGGTGTGTGATATCCCTGCATTAAAAACCAGTACACCCCTTTTGGTTGAGCATTGGCTCTTCAGCTGCATCATGAATATGGTTCGAAAAATCTTATTGAAACTTTACATTCACATGGCTTTTGCGCGTCGTACACTGAAGCTAGAAAATTTCTTCAACCAAAGACGCATGACGGTTTATACCTGTACACGACATATGCAATGTTATTGGAACAGTAATGTCTAGCACACTACTAGCTGCTCACGCTCTAACGGGATGAGACACGACGTCTTCTTTCTTCGGAATTGGCAAAAAGACAGTATAAAAGGCGTTGAAACAACACCCATTCAGATATCAAAATTTCTAATATTGAAACATCTATTGCAGTGGGAAGACAATTTATCGCTGATCTATATGACCCCAAAGGCATGCTCAATTAGTACATGCTGATCTTAATAAACTGAGAGTGAAGTCAGCGCTATCTAAGGATGCTGCCTTAGTGAGACTACCTCCTTCAAAGGCATCATTAAGACAACACATTTTTAGAGTTTCACTACAAGTGTTAGTCTGGATGAATACTCATATCACCAAAACACCACTCAGATCACCTCTGGAATATAGATGGACAATAGGGAATAGCTCCATAAATCAAGTATATTTTGAAGGGCCAATGTCTTTTGACTTTTTTACAGGACCATTTTTGCACATGCAAAGGAAAAATTATTTGTTGCAAATCGTGTGCATGCTATGAACAAAACTTGTCATGCACAAGCATTTGTGGTTGTCAGGGCAGTGATGATTGTAGAAACCAGCTTACTTATCAGACTGTTTTAGAAGATTGCAACGATGAGGATGATAATTGAGTGTTTTCAATGCCCAATATTTCATGTGTTTGCTGCAAATGGCTTTTTACTTGACGTGTAGAGGGAGCTTTTCTCTCTCTTGTAATAAAAAATTTAAAAAAATTAAAAAATGAATTTTAAAATTTTAAATAAAAAAAAAAAAAAACTGCCAGTAATCAAAATTTCTATCGAATATGGCAACGAAATAAATGCCTTGTTAAGACAATTTTCCATGGTCACTAACATCGTTTATGGCAGTATATTAATCTTGGCTAAGGCATAAACTTTTATTATTAAAGTTTTTCTTATTTTCCTGATGTCATCTTTTAAAAGTACTTTCAATCCGTTATTTTTTAATCATTTTAAGGTTTATATGCAAAAATACTGTAACTGTAGATTTTGTTTACTCAATTACAACATCAAT